CGACCACAGCGGATCAAGCTTAAATGCCATCGATTTCTCATCAGCCATAATTACGAAGAATGACGTCATCGTTGCGTTAGTTCCTCTTAGTATATCCTTGTTGACATAGAACTATTAACACGTAATGTAAAATTAATTTCCTGTTTTTTTATTAACAACCGGTTGGTGTATGGTCGGAGTTTTTTTTTAAATAACAATTAAAATTCTCTTTCGAACACATATGTAAAGCAATATTATACAACAAATATTTAAAATGTTAGTGACAGTATATGTCTATCTTGTAAGATTAATTTGTAAGATTTACAAGAACCACGGGACGCGGACGACGTCTTGGGTAACAGCTTATATTAGTGTTAAACAGGAATTTGCAAAAAAAAATGTTTAAATAAAACACTTCAACGGTTTAAAACGCGATATATATGTTGAACTTATTTGGAAACGTTTTTTAACTTCGGCCTGACGTTTCGGATGCTTTGCAGCAGTCGTGGTCACAGGGAGACTAAAGATGAAGGATGTACATCCTCCGAAGTTAAAAATCATTTCCAAATAAGTTTAACTAATATAGCGCGTTTTAAACCGTTAAAGTGTTTTATTTAAATGTGTACTACTCGCGTAAACTATAGACAGTATTTTTTAAAAAATTTGATGCCCAAAATAACTATTCTACGCGTTAAGTCGCTGACACAGTTAGTAACTTTATATATGTAGTGACTGAGAAATACATCTGAATGATTCTCAATCAAAATTACTTAATAAATTATAAAAAGGGGGGGATAAATTGAACTTTTAAATACATTATCAATAGTTTTTACAGGCGAAAAATTATCTCTCTATCCACTATATCTTTCTTGCTTTTATCGATACGTGGATATACACTTCAATGCTTTGAGATCAAATTACAAGTTTAACTCTTGAATACATTTTATTTTATTTACATTTTACACGCCCTCAATAGCGTGGCTTCAACTCCCGCTTGTTTCATCGAATTTTTAATCTATATCTAGATTTTTTCACTACAGCTAGTATCATTGCGTTGGTCTTAAAAAGAGCGTAAATCTAACCTTACTTTCCCATTATTATTGGTTATGGTGCTATTAAACTTTCTATACGCCATTAGGTACATAGCATTGAGAGTGAATGAAATTGCACGCAGACAGCTGAAATCAACGAACTCTCTAATGTTACATCATTATAAGTGACTTCGTAATGTAACCGAATATTTTTTTGTCGATAGACTTGTTATAAGTTTTAAGTGTTCGTCGTATTAGTATTGTGAGATTAAAGAATAAATATGTTATCTACACTTATATATAAGGCTGAAGAGTTTGTTCGTTTCAAAGCGCTAGTCTCAACTACTGGTTCAAGTTGAAAATATTTTTGTGTTAGAGCATTTATCAAGAAAGGCTTAAGGCTATAAAACATCGCGCTGTGACTAAGAGCAAAGAAACATCGGGAAATGTAAAAAAAGGGGAAAATATTCATCCTTGTGTCCGTTGCGTACGCTGCGAACACGGTTCAAGATACCCAAAACATATGAAGGAGTGTAGGAATTAAGAATGATTCCACTTTATTCGTTTTGCAATTTGAGATGGCCAAAATAACTATCCTACGCGGACAAAGTCGCTGACACAGTGTAGTATCTAAATAAACACAAGAACTTTTAGTATATTCCGAGTTTTAAACCATTCTCTTGTTAAGTCTATTTCGTTATAGATCTTACCGCCTTTACTGAACACTAAAAAGCTATTTTCTCTTCCTTTCTATATAGATTTGATATATTTACAGATAATACCATGTAATGGAGATAAAAATAAAGTGAAAGACTTTTGTTCGGTCAGCTTTGTTGTGTTGACCTCAATGTACAACAGAGTCTATGGTCTGTTAACTACGTGTAATCTCTTGTCTATGGCCAATTCAATTTAACAATAACTATTAATCGGTAGATCGTTCGTGAAAATTGATATTATTTACATCTCTATAACAATGCCATTGGGTAATCGCTTTTATTTTGAATTAAAAATCTTAAATTGACCGTGCAAAAGAAGAAACCAGGAAACCGAGAAGAATATAATTTAAACAAATACAATGATTTATCTCAAATGCGGGAATCGAATTCACAATCAATGTAATAGAAACTGATTGCTCAGCTCATAAGTTACACTAGTTAAAACTACCTTTCTTATAGACGTTAGTTATTAAAAGAAATTTAATCTTTCTAATTTAATTTATAACGCTTCTCGTGGCAGTGGCCAGACACACTCCTATGTCTATTTGACTGATCAATTATTTGACAGGCAAGTCTTCATCGTTCATCTTTTCGTGTCCTATCTGACTATAACTATTTATTTTATATATATTCCGATTACTAACCACTAACCCACCGAGGCAGATAACCTATAACATTGACACATAGGACACCTTTTGGTTATGTGACAAGCCTGAAATTAGATTGTCTTGAAATTTTCACATAGAATTTCCTCGCTCAAGTTCTATTCCATGGGTTGTGGAAAGCGATGTTATTTATTATATGAAAAAGGAAGGGTACACAAAGAAGCTTCAACGCCAACGTTGTTTTATTTATGGCTCCTTAAACTCATGCAAAAGCTATAAATTTGAAACTGAAATATCCTTCAGGGATTTCGCTGAAATTCACGGTTCGCGTTAACCAGGAAATTTAAATACAACTTAGTGCTCTAATAAAGTCTAACAACCACTGTGCACATCTTAATTGGTGTTCGCCAGAAAGTGTGTGAAAGAAGTTGTAGTCTTAAAGTTTTGTATTTAATATCAATCAGTCTGCATAATTTCTTGACTTAAACACGTTTTATTTACTTAAATTCATAGAAGCGTGATTATAACTTACTTCTCGTCCTAACTTTAAAATATTCAATTACCATCAAGCAACAACCTGAGCAAAGCTTGATTTATAATAATGAGAAAAAATACAATTAATATTTTTAGATTATTAAAATATAAATAACTCAAGTCATGTGCTATTGAGTTCTTATAAGTAGTATAAATATTCCTGGAAATCGGACCTGATATTTGTTGTGGTGGTCCTTATAAGTATGTTATACTAGGTAGACATAAATATAAGAATATTAATTTAATTAGGGTTAAGAGCTATTTGAGCATGTTATACACGCTATTTTTATCTGTTGAGCTACTTGACCACCAGCAGTAGAGCGTGGCTGCCATAAACACCGCTTTCTCCGTGGACTGTGATAGAACATTTTAAGTCCCACGTTTCCTCTAATTGCCTGGTAATTTTAGAAATCTAGCATTTTCCTCTGTCAGTTTCCACTTAGCCAGAAAATAAAAATCAAATTTTAGACATAATCTATATAAAGCTGAAGAGTTTGTTTGTTTGTTTGTTTGAACGCGCTACACTCAGACACTACAGGTTCGAATTGAAATGAAAAATTATTTTTGTGTTGTTTAGAGCATTTATTGAGGATATGTCTATCTTTTAAGATTGAAATAACGATGGGAAGGGACGCGATCGATGTCGTATCTAACAGCTTAAGTTTATAAACGTGACGGGGTTTGCAAAAACTAATTGGGATGCCCCAAATGCCGATTCTCGTGGACGAAGTCGCTGGCACAGCTAATACAAAATATGAGACTTAAATGAAGTGCAATGGACGGTCTCGCTAACAAGCGTCTTCTCCATAACACAAAATAAGAGACAAAAGTTTATCGAAACGGGATTAATTATTACTACGAAAGCTTACAACAACCCTGGGAAAATAAACTACTGGGATTGAGTATTTCTGCGTAAAATACACTCAACGTTGCTTAAATTATTTATTTTATTACTCAATCCCTGTTACGCCATATATGTATACATCCTATTTGTTATGTTATCCATAACCGTGTTTATTACATTTGAAATTGATTATGCTTAAATAAACTTTGAGTTTTTAATTATTATCACTAAGTCTTAAACGTGGGACCTTATTATTCTGGAAATTTCTTATTGAGAATTCCAATATCAAAGTTATAGAACCAAACACGAAACTTCTAGTAAATAAATAGTTTGTTTAATTTCACTGTCATCAATTTATAAGTTCCTGGTAGTAATAAGTATACGCGGAGTACTTTTCAAAGGGAATAAGAAATTACCAAGAACCGTGTGTGTGATTGATGCAATGTAGGACGTCGGCGCTCGGTGTCTTTAAAATATGTCAGCTTCTAGAGAATTGATTTCTAGATAGAAATGCGATGTGAAAGTTGGAGGCTTACCGCAAGAGGCATAGTATTACAACTAAATACTATGTACTAGGTCATTGATCTTACAATGCACTTCTTCTCTCTCTACAGAGCTAAGTCTACTACTACAAAAGCGATAACTTAACTAACTTGTAACTACAATTCCTATATTTGGTAGCTATTGTAAAACCTCAATTGCTGAGAGTGGCGGCGCGGATCGAAGATGGCAAATATTCTAATTCCACCGTCACAAATTTTTAGACAAAACTAGTTTAATATTATGTTCGAAGTTACGAAATTATTTATTCAGACTTGTTTAATATTTTAACTTTTAAGACTCTAATAATCTCTAATTTTGTCTCGTCCTAAAAAATTCAGACAAAATGTTCTTACACTACGACAAATGATCCGGTTTTCCCAAAGATGTCTCACCGTCTGGAAATGCGGTGAAATTGAGAAATAATCTTATTGTATAAATGAAGTATGACTCTATATTTAAATATTTTGTAATATAAATATTGTATAGTGAGTATTGACAAAATCTATTCTTTCTTTTCTTTAAGTAACAAAATAATAAGTAAAAGAAGTTTAACACAAATATCGTTTACAGATGTAACAGCTATGAGAATCGTTATCAAACATTTTTGTCTATTTTTTATTCTATAATTTCAAAATTTATATAAAATATTTAAATTGACTTTATAACCAATTAAATTTATTTAAGAAGTATTATTAGTTAGATATCTATTGTCAACTGTCAAACTTTAACCAATAAATTATTGTTTCAGGTTGTGTAGTGGATTTTGTGAAGTAAGAACGAAGAATCCTTTATGCGTGTGTGAAGTGATGTTGTTATTGTGTGTTAGACCAATGAAGCGGCGTCGAGTTAGGACACTACCTCACCAGTAACACATTACAATGTTAGTCGCATTGATTCTCGCAGGATGTGTGTCGTTAGGTGAGTTCTCTTCCTGTTTATGCGGACCTGGTACTCGAGACTGTAAGGTGAAGGGTTAAGGTGCCAGTTAAAATCCACACTTTCATGGTTACACGCAACAAGATTATAATTATTGTGTAAAAAAAACCATTTTACACTAGAGAACTTAAAAATACTTCTGAATATTACTTATACTATAATTATTAAAAAGTTTAGAAGGATTTTCGGCACCTACAACTTAGTTAGTTTTCGGAAATTAGGTTTCCGAATCATTTTAGTATTCCTGGGGTTAGTAGTACACATTAAAATAAAAATTAATGGTAAAAATTCTTTTTAATTTAATTACTTTAACAACGACCTGGGTTTAGCAGCTGCAGTCATGGGGGAACACAATGTTTTAATTAAATGTGTACTACTCACATAGATGACAATAAATAATACTTAAGACTTATTTGACAATGCTTAGGAAACTGACAGACAGGGGTGTGTTAGATTCCTCAGAGCATTAGACGTTCTTAGAAACCACTAGGATACGAGAAGGCGGCAACAGGTCTGTCTAGCCTAGCTTTCTCATGTAATATGTGGCACACGTCCAGAGTCCCAGGCAAAACCGACGCACACATAACCACACACGGATAGATACCTCGTCTATTATCCCTGTACCTGTCTCGTTCCAGTCAAAGCGAAAATGGTACGTGTGAAAGAGATAGAAGCGATGCTAGCTAAGCGCGTTTGGAATAAACGAACGCGTAAAAGAATGCTTGTAGGCCATAATACATGTTACTAATACAACGTTACTCTTATAATTTATGATCACATGAAGCGTTCTGTTATACGAATTTCTTTACCGTGCAGTACTAGGACATTAGGATTATTTAAGGTGTAGTAAATAATAACATAATAATGAGAGGATTGTTGATTCCAATCCACTTTATATATTTACCTAACACAAAAAATAGCAAAGTAAAGTATAATATAGAAAAACCAATTATTTAATAAAATCTCTCTTATCTACACGTAGCAATAAAGTATTATTACTAAGATTAAAACGCCTTTCTATCGTTTTAGGACCCATAAAACTGAAATTTATAGTTAATTTTAACAATTACTGAAATTGTTCGTGTTTGAGACTATATTATAATAATAATTTCATTTAATTAACAAATTATTAGTTTTTCGACAGCTACCTACCAATATTAATATTTCTTTAGTTCCATTATTTAACAATAAACAATTAAAATAATATTAGGTGTAGTTACAATGAGAGAAAAGCTGATAACAAGAAATTAAATACTGTCTATAGTTTACGCGAGTAGTACACATTTAAATAAAACACTTTAACGGTTTAAAACGCGATATATTAGTTCAGACAGTCTCCCCGTGACCACGGCTGCTGCAAAGCATCCGAAACGTCGGGCCGAAGTTAAAAATCATTTTCAAATAAGTTTAACTAATATATCGCGTTTTAAACCGTTAAAGTGTTTTATTTAAACAAGAAATTATTTATGTATTAATTCAAAATAAAATTAGACTGAAATAAGATTATTATGTTTTTTGTCACTTTGAATGTTTTAATTAATATGTATTAGAAACAACCAAACATACATGAGCATAACAATATGAGCCATCTCGTGTTATGACACTTTACGAATTCAATCTAACTTTTGCTCGCTACCTGACACTTCTTGTTTTGACAATTGACATTTCGGTGACTGCTGCCCTTTTAAGGGAAATGAAGAAATGCTAATTAAATGACGACTATAGATACTGTATTTAGTCCACTTCGTAACGAATAACAACGACAAATACATTTCAATTGGGTAGCATTTTTAGTCCAAATGAAAATGAACTTAATATCTAATAAAGGTAGGTAAAGTCTAGAATTTTATGCACCTAATTACCAACACACTGACTGCATACATTCGGCGTCATGATACGTGTAGTCCAAAGACATCTCTATGAATCTTACGCCCTAGTACTTTCGAGCGCGTACAACTAGCCCGCTTCAACGAGTCGCATACTAGAGACGCATCTTAAAAGCACAGTATTCTAGAATCTATGTTACATTGAAATAAAGCGTGAATTTGCTTATTCTATTGTAAAGAAGATCTCTATGTTGTTTCTGATGCCTTAGCGCTCGCGACTAAACAAACACACATAGCCTGACCCAGCTTTTTCTACAAGGTCATGTTTGCTCACATACATATACACCTGTTGCTATCTATCTCTTTCCCACTTTACAGCTGCTTAAATTAAAATATATAACAGGTAGTTAGTACCTGTGCAGTAACTTTTTAAGGGTGAAAGTTTTAAAGTATTTTTTTTATGGATAACTAGATTTCTGATATTTCCAGTGTACAAAGAGTACATAAATCCATCGCTTCAAGGTCGGGTCCCTTAGACATAGCTGTACCAATTGCCATAGACTTTTCCTAGAATTATTTTTATGCACCAAAATTCGAATATCTGTCTTTTATGGAAAAAAAATAACCAACCTCATGTTTCTCCCGCTATAAAAAAGAAACCAAATTTAAAGTTTATCTATACTAATATTATAAATGCTAAGCTCTGTCTGTCTGTCTTTCCGGCTTTCCGGGATATTCTAACACCTGAGAAAGGACATAGGCTAATTTTAAATGCCAAAAAAGGGTTGAATGTTTGTATGGAAATTCGTGTTTTTTTAAGCTAGAACAATGAAAATTTGTTCTTTGGCTTTTTGGGAATAGGAGTGGGAGTGGGAGTTCAATTAGGCGTGGGAGTGGGGGTGGGAGTGAGAGTGAGAGTTAGAGTAGGAATGCGCCCTTACATAAATTAATAAACAGCCTAAATAATTAAAAATTTTACCCCAAGTTATTCCACGCGGACAAAGTCGCGGGCACAGCTAGTATTAAATAAAACTAAATGCTTAATGCTGTTAGGCAGCTGTAGTTATGTTTCAAGGTGAGTGAGTTAAGGAATTTATTGATGTACCACTGTGCTTTTTGTTCACGTCAACATAATATAAATATTATGTTATTTGTTAAAAACCGACACTCTCCTAGTTATACCGAATAGTGATAATTTTATGTACTTACTAGCTGACCCGGCAAACGTTGTTTTATTGTTTCCAAGATTATAAGTCTGTTTTTACAACTCTAGCAAAAAAAAAAAGTATTATGGATCAATACATGAAACTTGTTAATCTTTCTTACGTTTTTTGTTATAACGCAACTTTAGGAGAAGTAGAAAATAAGGTTTTTAAAGAGCAGGGAAAAGGTTGTTTAAAATATTTTAACAAACTGTAATGAATTTTAGATACTGGTTAAAGTTTAGATAACATATTACGCGATGTAGTACACATTTAACTAAAACACTTTAACGGTTTAAAATGCGATATATACTTATTTGAAGATTATTTAAACTACGGCTTGACGCTTCAAATGCTTTGCAGCAAGTATTGTTATATTTAAAATTCAAAATTAAGTTCGCTATCGAAGTCAAATTCGAAGCCAGGACCCTATGTGTACTCGTCTGCACTAACCACTAGACCAACGAAGTATTGCACCAATATAATAGTTTCACATCGAAACATCCATTACAGCACATGACAGGAATATGTAAGTGATAAGTAATGTGTTGTAATAAGTGAAAGCCACTTTCACTACGGCTGGGTGTCTGCTGGTTACACTTGCATCTCGCTAAACTCGTTATAGTTTTAGCGAATAATCCCATCAACGTAGGGAGGAACAAAGTTCTTATCTATTGAATATAAAATGGCCGAAGAAGGCGAAATACCTCAAGAATAACAACAAAACGTGCTGTAGACTTATCTTGGCACTGAGCTGAGATGTTCGCACCGAACACGCTCGATATGTGACACGATCGATGCGAGCACTGTACTCGTGCATTGGGTTTATTGATATTGAAATAGGCCAGTCATATAACATGTTAACATGATAAGCTGTCGACCTATCTTGAGTTGAGATTTAAAATCCGCAGCCTAAAACCTAAACGTGATTAATCTTCATGGCTTTTTTATTTGTGGAATTTTAGTATTCATTTAATATCAAATGTTATAGTTTAGTCCTCCGACGGTATATATATATGTGTGTATATTGAATATAATAGAAGACGTTTATATGTCTCCCGAAGTGTAAAAGCATTATTGTAACTCATTATCTGAAATATAACAATTTCCTCGTAACAGTCAAACGACCCGGTACGTAAAAGTAGGCAATTTTAAAATCTAGATCGTAATAAACGCCCGTTGTGACTGATGAGATATAAAATAGTGCGGTCTCTCAAAGGCTTTCGGAATTCGTTCCACAATTTCGCCAACAATTTCTGAATATGTACATAGTTTCGGAGCATTTTAACTTTACTTGTTAGGTTTTAAATTTAGAATTCCAGTTCGGGCTTCGGTAGAGATAAAAAGGGATTACATACTCTAGAAATTGTGGAAAAATGTAACCGTAACCGAAACCAAATCTATTATAACAAAATTCTAAAGATAAATTAAAAATCGATCTTATATTGAAAAACGTCTACGACAAGTGCCGAACATCCATAGCGTTTCATGCTGTTTCTCTGTGTCTTAATTTTCCTTAATCTTAAAATTTATTTTTAATCTAGATAATGCTATCATGTGTAAAAATGTAAGGATATCAAAATGATTAAATATTTATTACATACTCAATAGAAGAATATACGGGTGAAATAATTACTTCGTCCACGTATTTTCTAAGAAAATACAGCGCAGCCAAAAAAATTTGAAACCGAAGCTCTGATTGGATTCCAATTACATATAACTACAAATACAGAACATTTGAACAATCTTACGTAATTTAATTAATCGCAGATTCCTATCACCCGAGATAAAGGCAAAAGTTATACTCGAGCACACGAGAATGACGCAGAAGTGGTCGCCGGTAATTACAGTAAGAGGTCGATTAGATAACTTCGCAAAGTAATTCGAAGAGATTTGGGGAGTCCTCAGAAGTTCCGGGACCCAGATAGAGCTGACTAATTGCCATTTGTCTCGTGTTTCCTCATGTCCTGTTGTTGTAATTAATTCTGTTGTCTCATCCTAGTTATTTGTGTATGACAAAGCGGAAACCTTTGAAGTGTTTTTATTTAAGTTCTTTATGTTTTTAACCGTTTATATAGCTATCCCCATATTTTGATATTTTGGCATCGTACATTAAAAAAAAGATATCTTTTAAAACTGTTCTCGTTCTAAAAAATATCCTCAGTCAACCAATCGAATCGTACTTGTCTTGGCGTATACAAATTTTCATAATTACATCATCTCCGTACTTAATTAATTCAAAAGTGTTGATTAATTTTACATGATTAAAATTTCTTGTATCTGATTTACTTTTTGCCATTTCAGTGGCATCAGATCTCCAACTACCCCCTGGTTTCAACTTGCCAGCAATCACTCATGTGGACAGGAACTGGTATGTGATGTCTTCAGACCCCATTGGGTCAATCGTCACTAGAGTTACCAGAGAGCGTACTGGCAAACATAATGTCACCTTCGGATTGGACACGGGTGGACCCCCGACGCCATTCGCCATAGATCCTCACACGGGTGTCGTGGTTGTCAACGACACATTAAAAGATAAGGTAAGTGTTATAAAATCTAATATGTACAAATATATATATTGCGTGTACCTCAAAAGAAATTGTGTCGCGGGAAATATCATTATTGTTCTGTGCGGAATTGTGATTTTTAGAATTAAAACATACTATTATTTTTTATTATTCGTTATTAGTTAACCATTGTATAGCGTAACATAAATATTGATAAAAGTACATATCATTGCGTCTTGGTACTTAACCGCCTCTGTAGCTAAATGGTTAAACACCGCCTAGCATTGCGTTGAGCGCAAGAGGTCCTGGGTTCGAATCCCAGGGAAACAAAAAAATGTTTAGATCTGGCAGGGCACAGAAGACTGATCAATTACTTGCCCATTAAAAGAACGGATCAGTGAAACGGACACAGAAATGTGTTTGCCCCATGGCCCTCATGGGGATGAGGGGGAAACGCGCTTTCACACTTTTGCGTCTTAGTACTTATTTTAAACAACTATTGTTTGAGTATTTTCTCTACTTTACACACACACGTCAAAATAAAACACTAACTTAACTCTAACATATACATATATCACTCACAATTTGTATCAAGAGTAAACTTGTGCATAAAGAGAGCAACAACGGTAGAATAATTTCATGTAACTTGTTTTCAACAAAAAAACGGAAACTTGTTACCTTATTTAGTTAACGAGTTTTTTTCATGTTAACTTAGGAAGGAACAATAAAATATGTACATTTTTTTTTAAATAGAGATCAAATATTTTCGAACAAATATTCTTAAGTATTATATCGTTTTTATAACTTCATTTCTAATTAAAGTTTTGGTATGTAAATGTGTCTACAGTCTTGGAGTAGAGCAACCTATGTTATTTTTTTTTATAAACGCGAGATTGTTTATATATCTATATAAATAAAACACTTTAACGGTTTAAAACGCGATATATTCGGATGCTTTGCAGCGTCGAGCCGAAGTTAAAAATCATTGTCAAATAAGTTTAACTAATATATCGCGTTTTAAACCGTTAAGGTGTTTTATTTAAATATAAAACATTTTTATATTAACAAGAATCTATTATATTTTAGGAAAATAAATCATACTCATTATGGGTAACGGCAGACGACGGCATCTCGCTGCCCCAAAGGACAGAAGTCTTCGCGACAGTTACGGACAATTCCGGTGTCAGACCAAAACTGCCAAGACCACCGCCGTTTGCGATCGCGAACTATGACGGAATGGCGTTACAACCAAAGTTCCCTAGACCCATATTCAGCACCACCAAAGCACCACACACAGACCCCACTAGCCCAGAAACAATAGCCGCCACAACCCCCACTAAACCACCAGATATACCGACGGAAGAGAAGTCCAAAATTGAGGTAAATGATGCGAAGAACAGCACATTGCAAGAAACAAAAGGAAATGAAGTTCCGTTGACAGTTATACCGTTAATAGCGATCGGAGCTTTAATAGCAATAGTCGCTGGAGTAATAATCTTCGTTTGGAAGAAGAGGCATGTGAAAAGAGCCAAAAGTACAAAAGATGATAAGGTCAGTAAACTTATTTAAATATAATCATTAAGTAATCATAGAGATAAGTAAAATAGAAGGTTTAATATACACATAATCACAAAGCTCACATGAGGTACGTTTAAGCTTAAAAAATATAATGTAATTTAAGTTATTCTATTTGTTAAAGTTTTTGCTTTGCTTAATCCCCAAAATTACTTAATATTAGAATATTTTTAAATCCGTTATGTAGAGAAGATTTATTTCCTTCACCATTGCAATCTGAACATGTAATAATTACTCCAGGGTTTTCGTTCGTTTATGATAAGTAGAGAACCTTTCTGAGGATACCATATAACGAATACTGCCAATGCGCATTAAAACTATATAACGTCTCGCTCTAACTAATATATTAAAAGGCGACCTTGAACGACTGTAAAGATTAAGTCACAAGATCTCTGCAATGTCTATAGCATTCCCATACACGCTTTTGCCAAAAAAAAATAGCTTTTCGCGCAATTCATGTACATCCGTTGTCCGCAGAGCAAAGACTCGGGTGGGATTGTACTACAAGATACCTCAGTCAACTTATGGGACCGTCCCCGGGCATATTCCAATCAATACAAGTCTTGGGACAACGGCCATTTACAGGTCAGTCTTAAGCAACTGACTGACATAGCCGATACTGATAAAATTCCCATTAAACTCTCGTTATAATTAGACCGATGTCCATTGTTGAAAACACAAAAGGGCTTTTAATAACCTCATCCTAGATCTTGTGTCACGAGACATATTCTTTTACAAGTTTATACCTACGATCTTTTTTCGTTACGCTTTCCTCTTAAGATCCAATAGTGATCTTGTCTTAAAATTTAAAACCAAATTAATAAATAATATTAAAATAAAAGCCCTTCAATGTATAACTCTATTAATGATAAAACGATTGACGACACGGACGGGCGGACGGACGAAATTGTATCAGCATCCACAACGATCCGTTCTGCTACTCTAACTATATGAACTACCATGTCTCACACATCGACGTCGAATTCCTTCAATCCCAAAAAATGTGTCTAAATTTCATCTGGATTTAGAATCAATACCTAAAAATAACTTTATAATACTAACGAAATTTATTTGTGAAAATAATTCCCGCCAGCCTAAAACCTTAAATTTTCTTAATGATTTTATTACTTCAACATTTTTGTTCTCTTCTTTTATTGGTTGTTATTTCCATTCATAATATACAAACGATACTCTTCCATAAACCATAAAGTAATATAAAGTTCTGATTACTAGAGCTTCGTTTCAATTCCGTATATTTAGTGTTTATTATTTAAGTTTGATCTCAGTGAAATGAAAACGTTATTGCTTTTGAAATTTACATTTGTAACAGGCTAATAAATTTTATCTAAACATATTGAAATAATAAATCAATTATGTCTAAATTAACTTTTATAAAACATATTAATCATACAAAACCATCTAACGTCAAAGCTGTCAATTCGGATATTAAAATATTTTTGTTGTAAAATAACTACTCAGTTATTTCTATTTTTTAATTGGGATTTTTCATACACAATAAACTGTACATTTACCCAAGTCTTCAATGAACAATCAAATATACACGAATCTAACCTTGTACGAATTTATGAACGCAGGGTTCCGTACTATTTTACTACTGATAGATAAAGAAGTTTTATTGCAATTAAGAAAAATACGACTGAGTATACTCAATTGTATTACCAGTACAAAAAAAAGATCACAAAAATAGCGATTGTTATACAACATTATATAAAATTTTGTTGTTTTCTTAAAAAGTTATTAAAAATCTGTTATGTTGTTAAAGGGGCAGCAGGAATTCATAATTTTAAAAATTTAAGTGACTAGCGAACATGGTACTTGCAAGACATTCTGCTGACAGAGAATTTTTGTAAATGGATTCCATTTTTACTCTTATAATACAGAACCCTCAAAACTAACAAATTAAAAAATATTAATTTAACAGAACTAATTCTGTTTCATTTTTCAGATATCTGAAGAAACTACAATAAGCAAAGAAGAACCCAGCGATGTATGGGAGTTTCCTCGATATCGCTTGAAGATCTTCAACATTGTTGGCGAAGGTGCCTTTGGACAAGTGTGGCGTGCGCAGGCTGTGGATATTGATGGTATGGCAGATACAAACCTCATTTACTTTCTTTAATTTAAATTATTTAAATAAAACACTCTAACGATTTAATACGCGATGTGAGCGGGAGAGTAATTAAACACAATAATGATAATACGACTTGTATACGTATTCACATAGTACACAATGAGCTCAGCTGGAGTGTACCGCGTCTTATATATAACTGTGCTTTGTCAGCGACTTCGTCCGCGTCGAATTTTGGCCAATTTTTTTTTTTGCAAACCTCTTTATAAATTGAAGCTGTCCACGACGTTCTTGCAAGTTAATCTTAAAAGATAGACAAATAGTATCGCGGACATTTTTTTAGATCATTTAAGCCGGAATCATTATTTCGTAATTATATATTTTTTGGTGTCTTGAATCGTTTTCGCAGCGTACGCATCTGAAATCCACTGAGATGAAAAATTTTGTTCACATGTCCGCGGTATCTTTGTTTCTATTAGTCACAGTGCGATGTCTTACCTATAGCCTTCCTCGTTAAATGCTCTCACCAACACATAAAGAATTCTTCAATTCAAATCTGTAGTTCTTGAGATTAGCGCGTTCGAACAAACAAACAAACTCTTCAGCTTTATATATTAGTATAGATATCATGCACTGCAATGCAGTCTGTTAGGCTACAGTAATTCCTCATGTAAACCCCTACAAATATATGAACCGTTCGCATACACTGTTGTTTGTAATTTAGGCGAGTAAAGGGAAATATATTTAACAATTTAAAAATGATCCTAACATTAAAACATTTTGATATAAAATTTAAAACCAAATAAAATCAAATCGACCGAAATCTTTCACGTATTATCTAATAGATTATAGACATAATATTAAAAGCCTAAATCTATATAGTGTATGTTTTTAAGACCATTTTTTAAATCCTGGACTCGAACCCACGATCACATGGAGCTGTGCTGTTGCTGTTTCAAATGATATACAACGACGGGAGTTATATTTACTCGTATGTACATAAACTCTCGTATGTATTAGTACGTCATTTCAAAAGACACCAGTTCGTTATTTTAACTCGCTGTAAATACACAGACAATGTTATAAGGAACAAATAGATGAGCTACGAGACAAAAGAGAACAAATATAAACAAAGACAGATCTTGGACAAGCTTTTACCGGCGTAAAAGATTAAAAAGACGATTTGTCGTTGTGACATTTTGTGAAGTAACTCGACTATAAACAATTAAAAGAATTTTTAGAAAATTATTTGAACTGGGAAAATATATGATGCAAGCGGGGTGATTTCAAATTTTATATAAGTTATAATCTATACTAATATATAAAGGTCTGAAGCAGCCGTGGTAATTAATAATTAACTAACGTTAGTCAACTCTGCAAGGACCCGGCCAGTTTCGCCAAATACCAACTTAGACGGAGCAGGTGGCGCTAGCGTAGCAATTTTTTACTTTGACGTCAGAGACATCCTCCATCTTTAGTCTCCCCGTGACCACGGCTGCTGCAAAGCATCCGAAACGTCGGGCCGAAGTTAAAAATCATTTTCAAATAAGTTTAACTAATATACCGCGTTTTAAACCGTTAAAGTGTTTTATTTAAATGTGTACTACTCGCGTAAACTATAGACAGTACATACAGGTCATCTTTATTTTTTTTCAGCTTCTCTACAAATTTTAGTTACGTTTTGTATATTTTCTTGTACTAGGCAATCATAGCTTACGAAGATAACGATTCTTATAAATTTAATGAAAATATTTATTATATTGGAGTTGGAGCTTATACATTTTCAAAGCTAAATTTTCAGGTAAAAAGGGGGAGCAGACGGTAGCAGTAAAAACGCTAAAAGGCAACGCGTCTGAAAAGGAAAAGACCGACTTATTGCAAGAGTTAGCTGTAATGAAGTCGTTAGGGACGCACCCCAATGTCGTTAGACTCGTCGGATGTTGCACGGAAAAGGTTAGTTTAATTTACCCGATTTGCATTATTGGTTTAAAACGGCTTACCAAGGCTTAGGTTTGATCGAAAATTATCTCATTTCAATTATATCTCTAATCTACATGTCTTCAAAAACCGATAGAGCGAGCTTTTACGTAGTTAGACCGTCGTATTATCGTGATTTGTTTTTAATTTATAATGATTTCTACCTTACATTCAAGTTGTAGGCTAAAATCAGAATTCTCACAAAATAGGACATCACATGACTCTGAAATGCAAATAAATATAAAGAGCAACTAATGCATATTTCCTACATGAATATTGCAAACTCCAAGGAATTTGAAACTGAAATTTTCATTTCACCCTATTCGAGTTGTTTATTAACTAGCTGAACGATGTACCAGTTTATATATGTGCAATTTTATATACCAGCATAGTAGACAGAAGTTCTAGCAGAAGGTTTTCAACTATTTGTTGCAAAAAAAACTATTTTATACATATTTTATATGTAATAAGACAACACTTATATTTTCTCACACAAGTAAGTAAGTTACCTATAAAGGTAATGCGCGTAAATGTAATAAACGAAAATGGGTACGCAATTTAAATGATGAACCATAAAAGAATAACATTACTTAAAATATCACCAATCCTGAAGCCCATTGTTTCAGCTCTGAACGATATGAGTTTTGCTTGGTCCTTAAACCTATTCTCCAGTTTTGTTTGTAGAGACTATCTGTTATTCTTTATCAGTTTCACAAGGCATATATATTGAAGTATTTACTATTTAAGTATTTATTCTTAATCCAGAATTAATGAATACCAATTAATAAATCGATGTAATTTTTTAATAATTTCTGCTTAATAGAAACCCATTTTTTATATACAAAAATAATCGGCAGAATCAAATAGTATTTCTCAATAAAGCAGATACTTTTTTATACAAACAGGATGTCTAAAATTAAGAAATGTTTAACAGGAAACTTTTAAGATAATTTTGGGAAAAGAACAGTCTTATGTTTGTTTGAAGAGGGTTTCTTTAATCTATTAAATAGTTTTCTTCGAGATCAAAACAAAGGCCATTAAATTTACAATGTTATCTTTCTAATATCAAAAATAAGTGTAATTAATGACCTGCTTGTAAATAAAAATAAAACAGCGTATCGGACACAGAAGTATGTTCGTCGTAATTAGAGATTAGGGTGAGAAAAAAGGAAAGCTCTGTTAGTTATTGGGAAAGCAGAATGACAGAATAAATCGCTGTAAAGTAATCTCTCTAGAGAATAAAAGTATTGGAGTTATCGAAAAACTATTGACTTTGGGTAAAAGCTCGGTTCAGTCTCATACATTTCTTATGCCAAAGTTTTTTCTACACTTCGTTACCCGTCAGGTTTCTCTTTCAAACGTTTATTTGCAACATTCACTCTCACATCCATAAGACTCCATTTTAAATTCTTATGTTTTCTTTTATTAAATACGATAAAGGAAGAATCATATTCAAATGGAAAATTGAAGATAGGAATTAGTATTTTAATGAGGGTTGCCTGGAAGAGATCGCGCTATAGCGATAAGGCCGCCCATTGTACTCCATAACTTGAACGAATGATCTTTATAAGTTGTATTATTAATCTGTATCTATATATAATCTATATATACTTTGTGTGTGTTGCCATAAATAATAAAATAATGAATTAGAAATATAGGTAATGGAACGATACTAGTAAGTTTAGTATACGTAAGTATAATAAAGAGACATTTTTGTGGAAAATATGTTTCATATATTATAATGTTATAAAAACTTAAAGACATTGACGAATAGAAAAGTTGTTTCAAATTCTACAAACGGCAACTCGCCTTCGGCTCAAATTACCACTAGAACGAATGAAAACAAAAGAACAAAGACTTTGTCCCATTAAGGAGCTGAACAAATGCGGGATAAACGGGAATAAAAAAATTGAAAGATTTCTGTAGGAATTCTCTTTCTAAATGCTGGAATAAGATATTTATTATTGATTAATAGCTACCTTGCTCAAATATGACGACAAAAAGAATTAAATTGTATATCCTGAATCAGAAACAATTTTTTTCGATTTAGTTCCAAAAAGAATATAAAATTGGTATAAAAAAAATAATTTCAAAAATGTGTATAGAATCTCAACTCTCAACGATGTTGACCTAATTTGGCTTTGGATATTCGGAAATTCGCGCCCCGGACGGAATTTACGACACCACCTACTTAATATCCTGATATCCAGACAAAGCCCAACATACTTGAGAAATAATAAAATTTATTGGAAAAATGTTGTACTCAATGGCGATCGAATCCACGACCGGTTGATTAGTAGCCATACATTACACTAACGAGCCAATCTCCCCTCCCATCAATTCCTTAATATTCATTATGATGTAATCAGCACCCAGACCAACGGGATCCAGCTTCGATTTCCAAACACAATGTCTTGTTTCCCACAGGAACCAACCCTTGTTATTATGGAGTTCGTGAGTTTGGGCAAACTGCAGCAGTACCTACGAGACTCCAGAGCGGAGCGTCATTATGGTAACACTCATGGTGGAAGCCTCTTCCTCACTTCAAGAGATCTGACGCACTTCGCCTTCCAAGTAGCCAGGGGAATGGACTTTCTTAGTTCCAAGGGAGTAAGTTTTGAATTTAGAAAATCAAAATTAAATACCAAATATATTATAGGCTAGTATTTTTTTTTTAACGATAGATGAGGACAGATAAGCACGGGGTTCACTGAAATAACCCAGCTATATTACATCTACACAAGATTCGATGTCGACCTATTTTGGCTTTGGAAAAAAAAAAATTAGAAACATGTTTCTCCCTGTGGAGATCGAACCCACGACCCACGTGTCCGTCAGAAATATTCTTCAGTTCGTAATGTTTTCTGCAAGAAATGTATTGTCCACCTAAGTCTTAAGTTGGTTTGGTGTTAATTGATATGTTTTCACAGATTATACACAGAGATCTAGCGGCTCGCAACGTCTTGATAACAGAGGAGAGGACGTGCAAAGTAGCCGACTTTGGTTTCGCAAGAGACGTCGCGGGAACACATGTGTATGAACGTAAAAGCGACGGTCGCTTACCAATAAGGTAACATAGTAGTTAAGTAAGTTAGTACTTTTAAATAAAACACTTTAACGGTTTAAAACGCGATATATTAGTTAAACTTATTTGAAAATGATTTTTAACTTCAATAAACAGCATACCGGCAAACGCCAGTCCGATGTTTCTGTGGACCCGGCCTGTTTCGCCAATACCATTCGACGGAATAGAGGCACTAGCGTTGCCAATTTTTTACTTTGACGTGAAGAGGCATCCTCCATCTTTAGTCACCAGCCGTGGCCACGGCTGCTGCAGCTCGAGACGTCGGGCCAAAGTTAAAATCAGGATAGTCTAACTAATTTTCCATTTTAAACCGTTAAAGTGTTTTATTTAAAAATGTATTTAAGTTAGACTTACTAGTTACGACCCTTTTATATAAAACGCACTTACACCCCTTACGTCCGACTATCATGGATGAATAAATAAAAACATTGCATTAAGCACCAAGAGGTCCTTGATTCGATTTCTTCGAAAATATAATCAGTTCTAGTAATTAAACAAAATATATCGCTCCTACTACAAATGTCTGGTTATGGAGCCTCGAACCCAAAGATAAGCTTTGTTTCATCGAGAAATACACATTAAAAAGAAATACTTTTAACGGTTTAAAACGCGTAATAAAATAAAATAAAATTAGTCTAATTTAATTTGACTACGACCCTGCATTTTGGATGCTTTCAGACTATGGTTGTTGCTTTTAGTGATATATAATAATTTCACTAAGATGTTTTAAACAGTAGAAGAGCTTTATTAAAATAAACCCAAATAATAAAAAATAGTTACTCCCTTATTAGCCAATTTCGTCACTAAGAAGTGCGGATCGATGAATTACTTCAGTGAAAGACAGGTGTCAATCTTAGATTAGAAGTATATTTTAATAGTATTAAATAAACCAGACACAGGAAGTTGCAAATGTTGCCACTTAATCTTATTTGTGATTGTGACAAATCAATTCATTCCCAATGCCATGATTTATGTTGAAATATCTATCAGGACTTTGAAAATTGGAAACTGTATATGGGATCTACACTGTTTATCTTGAAATGGAAGTCGTTTGAATGGACTTGCTATATAACATAAAGAGAAAACCCGTGGGGCAAGGGGCGAACACATTTCTGTGTCCTTTTCATTGATCCGTTCTTTTAACGGGCAAGTAGTTGATCAGACTTCTGTGCCCTGCCCGACCGAAACAATTTTTTTTGTTTCCCTGGGATTCGAACCCAGGACCTCTCGCGCTCAACGCAATAGGCAATAATACGTTTAACCATGTGGCTACAGAGGAGGTCACTGCTGTATAATATTAGGAGATAATACAACTTAAGAAGTCACAGTAGTAATTTTGAAATCCAGAAATTTTCTATTACTGCGGGTTCGATCCCCGCCCGATCCAACATTCCTTTTTATAATCTTTCATATTTGTAATAAGACCTTGTCTGGATATCAGGATATTAGTGGATATCGAATTTCCGTCCGGTTCATGAACCTCTCTCCACATATGAAAAAGCCGTGAAGTTTAATCGCGTTTCGGCTTCCGACTGCGGATTAAGAAATGCCCAAAACCAAAATAGGTCGAGAGCGCATCTTCCATGTTATATAATACCTATGCATGCTTGCATGTCATATATAATACTATAAAGAAAAAAAAATTTTTTTTACATAATATCCAAGTTTTTAACTTTTTGTAATGTAACAAAGCAACAGTATGATATATATTAAGTACAAAGTTTGTGTACATTCTCTAAGCCAGATTATCTAGTGAAATATAATAATGTCGAGAAAATGAATGAAAAACTTCCTTTCAACCTACATGGATTAGCAATATTTTGAGGGTATAATGATATAATGTTATCTTTTTCCAGATGGATGGCGCCAGAATCGCTGTACGACGACATATTCAGTGTAAAATCGGATGTATGGAGCTTTGGAGTTCTATTGTGGGAGATTGTGACTCTCGGATCCACTCCGTACCCTGGTCTGTCAGCTGGGGACGTTATGAGGAAGGTTAGATTAATATTAAATTTTTTCCCTTTACTGCAAATTGTTGTATAATCATAAAAAACATTACAGGCTTATATGTCAATAATATAATATTAAATACTGTCTGTAGTACAATTCAATAATACTTTAGTTTAAGGTAAAATGCCGTAAACTGGCTTAAAATCATTTTTAAATAATTTAAACTAATATCATTCACGTCTTAAACCGTTAATGTGTTCATTTTAAATATCCCAAGAAGGTTAAAAGGACATATTTAATCGGTTAAACTTGCTCATAATCGTTTCGAAGAAAATAGGTTTTCCAAATATAACAAAATATCATCAGGGTCACCCTTTTCTCTGTGGGATAGTTCATCCCAACTATAAATATTTGTCTAGACATGTAATAATTACTCCACTTGTCCAATACTTAGTAATAGGGTATCATTACGATGATAAATAAAAATACCGCCCTAAAGAGTAACCTTTTTATGCTCTCTGGGGCATGGGGCGAACGCACTCTCCATTTCATTCTTACATTTTACAGGCAAGTAGTTGATGGGACTGTTATGCCTTGCCGGAACGACTGAATTTATCTATTTACTTGTTTCAGGATTCGATTTCGATTCCACGCCATATTCATTTATTGTTCACTATTTAAACTAAATTTTTCTGTTTCTTAAACTAAAGTTTCGATGTCTTGACGACATTTCGGAATTCTTTTTCCATTTACCATAAAAAACATGTAGTAATCACGCGCACTCATTTTCCAATTCACTCAACCAGAATATTTTTTCAGGTCCGCGAAGGCCACCGCTTGGAAAAACCGGAGCACTGTCGCCGCGAATTATACAACATAATGTACTATTGTTGGGAAGCAGAACCGAGCTCCCGGCCGGAGTTCAAGGAAATCGTCGTGATGCTGGAACGATTATTGTGCACTGAAATGGACTATATTGAGTTGGAGCGGTTCCCGGATCATTCCTACTACAACGTACAGCATTTGGATGGAGAGAAGTTGTAATTAAGCTGCGGGTATAATTCTGTATAAATTATGAGAATAGTGCACATTTAAATAAAACACTTTTAACGGCTTAAAACGCGAAATATATTGTTTTACTTATTTTGTAACTAAAAGCCAACTAGCGCCATCTGTTCTGCCGCTTAGGTATTAGTGACACCTTCCATCTTCGATTGCCCTCGTAACCATGGCTGCGAAATCCATTCCAGCACTCCTAACATTGGTTTGCGCTTATTTTAAGGTTTTTAGTCGGCGTTTCAAACAGTTAAAGTGTTTTATTAAAAAGACAATTCTCGTAGACTTGTAAATTTTTGCTGTGCACTTACTGAAGAACTTAAATCTTTATGTATGACTTATCGTGTGTCACTATTTTAAAACCAATGTTAATGGTTATAAGCTGGCGGTTATTTGAGAATATATATCAGATATGTACAAGGCAACTTAAGAAGCCTGTTTTGAGTAATTTCATTCATTCTAGTGATATGGAAAATTTCGTCAAGTAATTATTTAGTTGTATAAATTAGGGGACAGCTATTCAATTAGTTGCCAGCACTATAATGGCTAGTAATTGTCAAAGACATTAAAATGATAAACAGCTTGATAGTTTTTAGATAACTTGTAGTAGTGTCACGATGTTTTAATTTGTTGGGTCATCTGGCTCGAAGGACCAAAATGTGATTTTTAAATATGTAACATAAACTTTGTTAAAAATATAAATTGTTTGAGTATCGGTAACTTACATAGTGTATTTTGATGTATATAACATCTTCTAAATTTATACCGAGTTAGAAATTAACTTTTCAAGTATTGTGCAATTTTATAATTACTTTAAAAATATAGTTTAAGTTGTATAATTACAATACTTATAATAATTAATCTAGAAAGATCTGAAGAAGAGGAGATTCGGTTTGTTACAAAAAAAATAATTATAGCTACTAGTCCTTAGTTTTTACTTTATTATAAAAATTAAAATGTAATTTTTCTTAACGTGCGATTTTAATAAAAGTTAACGTTTTATTAAGTTTTCATTTATTTCTATAATCGTTATTCAGCTTTGACAGATTTACTAAGCACGGAACACATTGGTCACAAAAAAAAATTCAAATGGAAGATTCTAGATGAAAAAATACAGATTTTCACTATGTAAAATTATTTAAAAGCAGAATAAATTAAATCATCAGCTTCAGTAATTTGAAATTTAAATGCGTGGAAATTGAAATGTGACCACCATTATGAACAATACTGAAAGTGTAGAACGAGAATCGGATACATAGTTTCCTCGAAACATTTTCAATTTGTGGAAAAGCTAAAAAATGTTTTTACATTCTGACGTTATCATTTTGCATCCTCCATCAATAAATCGTTAGTGATGAAAAGTTTCCGGGTGTTGCGGTGATAGTTAGATATATAAGAGAGTGGATAAAATGGCAAAGCCGTCTTAAAATACTACCGTGAATGTGCGGCCGATGTGTTAAAGCCGATATTTTATGTTGCCTATATGACCTAACATGTCAATTACAATGTTAACAAGGGGTTGGAGGAAACAGCCACCAAACCCTTTTAAATTTAATGTTTTTCTCTTTTGTATTTGACAGTAAGAAAATGTGAGAAATCTTTGTTTTGTTTAATCATTCATTTACTTTTTTAAGAACCTTCCTTGGTAGTTTACCGAACTGATTTTAAGCACTTTTGAAATCGATTTTAAAGGAAAAAAAAAATTACGACTCGGGCATGACTTGAACCGGCATCTACAGCACTGTTGCTCCAGCCAATTGAGCTACCCAGTCCTACACGTTATCGTCGAATTTTCTCAACCTACCTATGATATTTATTTATTTATTTATTTATTATTGCTTTATTATTTATAAAACACACCACAGAAAATACACATAAATGAGGAAAAAACTTATGTGCTATGTGTGATACATACACATCTTGCGTAATGAAATTTCAACCTAACCAATTGCGCAATAATTTTAAGCAGTTTTAATCAAGAGACAAGATGTTTAACATAATTTAGGGTAGCATAAATTATTATCTTATTAAGGAAGGTTGAACAGGAAAAAAATTATAACTAAGAACTTGTTTTTCAAATAAGTGAAACAGCAGGTGTAACTTGGAACTGCATCATGTAGATGAACTGCATAGTTACGTAAATATGTAGGCAGACTGCCAAGAAGGTTTTGGTTGCGGTACATCGCATTTGCATGCAAAAGACAAATAAGTTAGTCTTCAATTTTCATATTTGTTTACTTCGCTTCATACCAGTATATGAATTGCAAATCATTTATTATTTCATCCGTACTCAGTTCGAAGATGTCCTACGTTCGTACCACGGAGAATAATTTCGACCACATCCGTTATCAAACCTGTTATAAATTTCAATCTATGGTTTATTACGATTTAAATGGAAACAAAGCAGAAGAAACTACAAACTGATTAGATGTTTTAAAAACTAGGAGGCTATATAATATTCAAGTAATACAAGAAATCGAATAATAAGGCTGCAAAACCAGGACCAGAAAAGTTTCTCTCGGGAGCTTCATTGCGCTGTTCTACAAGTTTCTGCGTCGTCTTATTTTAAAACGCCTGTATGAACTTTAAAGCAATTTCGCTATAAGAAAAGCTGATGTCATAAGTAGAAATATCTAATTTTACATTTATCTACATACATTGCGTATAGACATAGTCGCGGGTTCGTGTGTCGACCGTGTCATCAATTTCTTGAATGAACTATTAATATAGTTATTTTCTTCAGACCGTATTAAAGTCACGCTTTTCCATTTTTTCATCAAAGTCATTTAAAAAAATGGGAAGAACACATGCACTTGCTATAAAATAGATATTTTCATAACTGCATTAATTTCCGCATGTCTAACTAAAACGTTCAGCGCGGCTGAATTCCAATTTCCCGACACTGAAAAATTATTCAGGGCATTTGTAAAGTTTGCTCGTGAGAGTGGAGAGTCATTGTTAACTTGTGAACGTCAAGTATGTTTAAGGAAGTGTAAAATATTAGGAAGTTTATTTATTTAAAGAATAAATGTCAAAGTGCTGTTATTTTTACTTAATTTTAATATTCTGCGGGCTCGGTGATAAAGCAGTGCGATTCCTACTAACGCAATGATTATGAATAAAAAACAAAAATCAAGTGATATTTCCATACAAGTTTCATCTAACGCTAATGAAATCCAGATATTATGAGAATAGTAAGAATTTTGTTCGAGTCGCGATCTCTGTCTGTAAATAAAAAAGGAAAGTAGCTGCGTCTTCATTGTTTTTAGTCTGTGAATGGCCGAAGCAAAAATAGGCCGACTAAGCATCATCCAATCAATTCGTCATATAGATCTCTCAATAAGAAAACTCGATGCTTTTGTGCCTTTATCTGTACTAATATTATAAAGAGGAAAGATTTGTATTTTTGTATGTAATGGATAAACTCAAAGTACTAGACCGATTTGAATAATTCTTTTTTCATATAATATATATTTAGTACTAGATATCTATAGACATCTATAGAAATTCTTATTAAAACCAACGGAAGGTGTTAAAAATTAGCCGTAAAATGTCTTTCTTCGCATACGCTGCGAAGTATTAATGATAGGACAATAAAATGTTCGATAATATTGTAGAATATATCAATATCTATAAAAAACATCGCGAGAGCATATGTCTAACTGTTGTAGTTACGTCGCTATAACTACTTTTTTACATTTGACAATTTAATAGAAATGCCGATCAAAATCAGACCGTGTTATCTATACCATTTATAGATTTTTATCCAAATAAATAATTTAATATTCAAGACTGTCTCATTGACGTGCCCCGCGGTTTTATTTTAGTCTAGTCTACGCATATGTTTATAATTCCCACGACTGTATCTATTTTATTATTTTTTGGTTTTTAGTGCATTTATCTTAAACATTGCAATGTATGTTTAACATAAAACCGTTTAAATTAAAAAGCTTTTTTACCTATTTTTATTTTCTAATTTAGTGATTCATGGTCGTTTTAATTACCATGCTTATAATTAAAATATCTGTACCTATTTATGTCCACCCGTGCGAAGCCGGGACGGGCCGCTAGTTTACTATTCGTTATTTATATTCAATATAAATATTGAATTAATAACGATTCATTCAACCAGCCCACATAGTTTTGTTTTTTAATATTTGCTTTACAGAATTGAGTTTAGTGCTAGGCGTAGGAAATAATATTTATTAAAAAATGCTTCACTATTTTTGTATAAAGTGATATTATCTTTATTTCTGCATTTAATATGGAATACGCTGTGTATTGTGACATTATAATACTCGAATTAGTCTGTTAAAATTGATGTATTTTAACCTGTTCCCTATAATTTTTTTTTAATTAAAACTTCATTTTTGAAATATCCCAATTTTAATTGAAAACAGTTTATTCCATGAATTCGTTAAAAATGCGTTAATATTTCTGAATAAATTAAATAGATGTGATATGTTGTTGTCTATGTTGATCAAGAATGTTTTTTTTATTTTACTTTTTTTGTGTGAATTTTCAAAGAAATACAAGTAAGTTTTTAAGTTTAAGATTTTTTTTTACTTACGCAATATAAGTACGATGGATATGTTCCGTGATAGCTTGTTTTGGTTGATAAATGGGGCAGAATATTAATCACTACTTATTGAACGTTATAAATGAAAGAGATCAAGAATGTTTACGATTTATAGATGTGATTTCTGTATCGCCTTTAACGTAATACAGGAAACGTTTCCTATTCCACTTTGGCAACATATTTTTCAACGTCAGTATAGTCCCTGTAGATTTCTATAGAGGTTATTTTTATCGTATATGTGAATTTTCGAATGTTATCGTGTTGTGGCTAACTTCAGGTGTTCATGGGCCACTAACTAGGTTAGGAAATATGAGAAGCAATTATAGACATAGTAGTGAAAACCCGTTTCCCGTCTCGTGGGGCATGGGGCGAACATATTTCTGTGTCCATTTCATTGATCCGTTCTTTTCACGGGCAAGTAGTTGAACGGACTTCTGTGCCTTTTTTTTCTGGGTTTCGAACCCGTCCTGGGTCCGCATCCTAGGAAAAAAAGTGTTCTCTCGCGCTCAACGCAATGCTAAGCAATACGTTTAACCACTTGGCTACAGAGGCGGTCAATAATAGACACAATATAAATTAATAATACGTAACATAATATAAGTTAAGCATAAGTATAAAATAAGAATATATAATTAAAAATAAGTAGACCAGGTCCCTTCTGACCTAGGAAGGGGACCCCTCTAGGTCGCCTTTAGCTGGAAAAACACTATCTATGGACAAAAGTTAAAAATACATAAAATTAAAAAAAATCTAGCTTACTTTTTGTTACTTGTAAAACTGTCTACAACTGTGACAAGCAGCCTTTTCTTTTAAAAGCTTCCGTCTGCGACAAAAATAGATAAGCCGAGTGTTTTATCAGAGAATTGTTTTTTTTTAGTTTTAACGAGAGAAGTTATTCGAGCGGACTTCTTTTTTAAGGTAGTCTGTGAAATATACATGATATACATATAATAGTATTAAAAACTCATGTATCTTTATAATTACTATCAGTACCACGTTATTAAAATTTTTGCGAAAGTAAATCTTTTTTTGAGAGAAAAAAATTATTGAATTACGTAAATGTAATTTTCAAAATTGTAAGCGTAGAAAGTCTGAATTAATCGCAAAATCTTTAACGAGCAAATTAATAATGCCTCGTTAAAGATTTTCTGTCTTTACTGCCTATATAAGATGAAAATGGGGAGAGTCTATAAAAGGTCTTTAACTGTCCAGGTATTTTTTAATCCAGACGGTACACCTACTCGTTGTTATCAGTGTTGATTGAAATAGTTGGTATTTGTATGTGTAATTCATTCGCTCTCTACAAATTTTTTCGTCTTACAAATTTTCGAGTCTGTAGTCTGATGCGGGCCAGGTATTTTCACATATATAAATTAAAATCCGATTTTACATTGAAAACATTTTACGATACGAGCTGATAGAACCGGCATTTGCCGTGCTTTTGCTAACTAATGAGCTACCGTGTCGGTGTTTATATAGTGCCATCAATGTGAAAAATGAATTTAAAATAAAAAATGTTAATGTATTTTTCACTCATTATAAAAAGTGATCAACGTCGATATAAAAGTTGGTACTTCTATAAATTCTTATGAGAATATATCGAATAATAAAATGTCAAATTTTTCAGTCGCAACACAAGACCAGACGACAACCAGGGCGAATACCCTGTTGGATGACGCTGATGACATCCAGAAGCAATTAGATAATGAAGCCCGGAACAAAATGGGAAAAGTGAGCGCTCATTTTACCACAGAATAAAATAAACCAGTAGGCATTTAAATAAAACATTTTAACGGTTTAAACGCAATATAATTTGGTTAAACTTGTTTAGAAATTATTTTTAACTACAGACCGACATTTCGTGCCCCACGGTTTTATTTTAGTCTAGTCTATGCATATGTTTATAATTCCCACGTTTGTATCTATTTTATTATTTTTTGGTTTTTAGTACATTTATCTTAAACATTGCAATGTATGTGTAACATAAAACCGTTTAACTTAAAAAAATATTTTACCTATTTTTATTTAATACAAGTTGAGGTATTGGTAGCGGTCTATTTGTTTATTTAGTTGACATTTTATGGTTTGTTCAGTATTCTGTGCTTTTTACTAATGAGAAAATATTGCATGACGCAAGCTTTGAATATTTAAAGTATTGGTTTTTTGCACACAAACAAGACTTTTATAAGTAGTGTCTATAAATTACGCGAGCAGTATACATTTAAATAAAAAATATCAACGGTTTAAAAGGCGGAATATATTGGTTTAATCCTTTTTTATTTTTTTTAATGAGAGGACACCGTGAGCCAGTTTCTACAGATACCAACTATAACAAAACAGATGGTGCTACCGTAGCAGATTTGTTTTTGACATTAGAAATACCCCATTTTCAGTCCTTCTGTGACCACGACTGCTGCAAAGGGGGCGTTGTTAAAAAAATTATAAATAAGTTACTAATATATTGTGCGTTTTAAATTGTTGCAATTTATTTACAACGTTTATCATCGCGAAGCTCTGACGGAATCAGTCATTTCACTTATTTACTTTACTAACTGGCATTCTTCTGTGCTATAAATAAACTTTTTTCGAGACTCCAACCCCGTCTAGGGCCACATAGGGCTGCATTGGAAATCAAGCTAGATAAGTCAAGTTAGTAATAGTTCAAATCTTCCTTAAAGCCATAAGGATTGAAAAGAGGTGTTGTAGACAGGATAATATAATTCATTTACAGAAATCCTCTTTTTTCACACCGGTGTAAAATGTTTTTCCAGCCTAAAACTGTGTGGGTTTTTCATTTTCCTACGCAATTTCCTGATCACAATACTATACCGTTTTCACAACTGAGAAAAATACATGTGAGTTTTACGTTCTTATAACTTAGTAATAAAATTTATTAGTACAAAATACACATATATTTTCTATAGCTAAGGAGAGTAGCATATTTAAATAAAATACGTTCAACGGTTTAAAACGTGAAATAGGAGCTGCCGTGATTTACACTATAGAGGCATCTAAACGTCGATCGTAGTTAAAATAAATTGACAAAAATATAGCTAATTAATTTATTTCGCTTTGTAAGCTGTTAAATGAGTTTTTCTCAGAACCAAGGTTTTCCTCAAGCTTTTTTACATACACCTTCGCAAGACCTTCTAACTTGCTTATTTACTGCCTAAAACATTTGGTATTGACTGTATGTTATGGTATGTAATTTCACTATTTAATTTCAGCTTAACAGTATGAATGAAAATACTTTAGAGAAACTGGCTAAAAAGGGTTGGTACTAACTACTCTAGTACTTAAAGTATTTAAACGCGTATAACGGTTTAAAATGCAAAATTTATAAGTTGAATTATGTTCAAAGTAACACGATCTAGTCACGAGGGTCTAAAGATGGACAAACTATATCGATGTATTATCTTTCAGACATAACCAGCTGGGATTATAAAGGTACTTGCAATTAATGTAATCTTTTGACCATGTTATAGAAAGATATTTAAAATAAGATATTATAGTCAATATTTAAAATTGCTCACCTGAAATCCTTTTAAACCATTACAATTATATCTATAATTAAGTGGTTAGGTTAGAGACACTTATGAACGCCAAAACAATTGAAAACAACAGCTTCAATATGTACATTTACTATTATACCATTTTCAAAATCAAAAGAGTAGAACGAACGAAAAGAGCAGGCAAGAAATATTACAGAAAAGACTTTGTTGCTTGCTAGACAAGCTTGGAGCTAACATTTTAGCAGAGACCGAACCTACGGTCCAGCCAAACATTGCTACATTTGGTATAACGACAATCGTATCGTTGTTTTCCAATAAAATGCCTCTGTTTTCACCTGATGTTAGATACATTTTGTTTCATATTCTAGCCACTTGTTCTCGTAATTATAATATCCAATTAACCAACCGGGCTTTTACAAATTGGTTAATTGTTGGAATAAATGCTTCGTTTATCACGTTTTGGGGAACAATATCATTCAAATACATAATTGGCAATGGTATTGTTATTCAAATATGCTATGTGTACTATTAACTCTATTTTTAACTCAATGTTATATATTATAAGAATTTACATGTTGAATATAGCAAATATAATTTTTAAGGCATAAAGTTTATTTATATTATCTATGTTTTTTTTAACTGTACGTAATAAAGCTCGAAGGAAAGCTACATTTTATTTTAGATTTTTTAATTTGTAAATCTTTTGTTGATTCACAAAAAATGATGTAGGCCAAATGAACTGGCCTTTGGAGTATCCTGAATGTGGCGGTCGATCACAGTCACCCATTGATTTACCCAAAAATGGTCTTATTAAGACTAAAGAAGGCCGACCACTGGTCTTCGTGAATTACAACAAGAAACCAAAAGACCTCTACGCAATCAACGATGGAAACAGGCGTACGGTTTTTCGTTTTATAATAGAAAAAGACAGACATGCAAACATACTTCACTTGATGGTAGGTGTAACACTCCAGCCGTATAACATCCAAACAAAATGCGGTGACGGCCTATTTTGGCTTTGGATATTCGAAAATCCATAGACTGAAACGCGATTAAACTAACACCATCATTATAGGTTTTAATATTGCGTATCCCACAAATAATATTAATATTTCACGAGTGTGAATTGCATATAAAAACTATACAATTACGTTTGTCTTCTAAAAGTTCTCATTCCATGAGCTTAGATAATATAAATGTCTTGTTTCGATTCTACAAGATGTCAGTAACCACGACTGTAACATGATCAAATTTGTTCGGGTTTAGAATTAAGGAAAAAAGTAACTTATTCATATAGATATTAAAAAAATACTGACCCACTCAGGCATATACTTATTAAATAGTTGACGGTCGGCATTTTACGATAGTTCCATCTGTCCAATTCAGTCTCTAGCCATTATTATCTTGGATGAGAATAAAACGACGAGTTTATCGCAATACCCAGACCGTTGCTAGGGACGTAATCTCGAATTACGCGAAATTTTACGCGTCCATTTAAGTGAATACACGTGTATAGTCTAAATAATTCTTTATCACATTTAATGAAATTGCTACTGAATTTTTTATAATATTTTCTGACTCCTTTTGTCCTTTACTAATTGTGGTGAGGCCAAGTCGTAGCATTGCTACGACGTAGTTCGTAATTTCTTGTTGAATACGACTATTTGTTTAAATAAAACACTAACGGTTTAAAACGCGATATACATTAATTAAACTTTTTTTTTTAATATTTTAACTTCGGCCCGACGTTTTGGATGATAAAAGGTTGTATACTCTAGCCATACAATTTCTAGTAACTATTTGTGCTGTGGTTCTATGTGACTTTGTACATAAATGTATATAGTGAAGCCGGTGGTTCATGACCTGGCTCGAATTTTAATATTCCTACAGATTTTTCCGAGAAGCCGAAAATTTTTCAAAATTTTTTTAAATATGTCGGACCCGGTGGAAATCGATCTAATGTCCTGTCGATTATTTCTCTGTTAATTGTTAGTTTAAAGTTTGAAACTCTATTTCTTTTTAATGAGTGCAATGCAGTAAAATTTTAATTTGAAATACCAAAAATGCCAAATAAATTAATACGTTATATATTAGGAAAAATTTTAGTTCTTCCTGCTTCTAACCTGCACGATCTAGGTCTTCCCTAGTCAAATTAAAACTCCCTAACGTCCTTAGTCTCGACAGCGCGAAATTAAAAATAAACATCAAGTGTGCACTTCTTAATTTTAGTTCGCATAACCGGTTCCTGGGATAAAAAGGACCAGCCGATGATATACGGAGGAGCAGCTCACAACCGCCGTTATTTATTCCATTCGCTTACACTTCACTGGCCCTCCGAGCATGCCATAGAGGGTCTACAATTCCCGCTCGAGAGTCAAGTGTTGCACGTTTCAGCTGAGTACCAAACACTTGAAGACGCAGTGATGTCGTCTAAGAAGGATCGACTCGCGTTTCTTGGTGTCGTCAATTTATTTATGGTAATTACAGTTTGTTTACACCAAAGAAAGACAACATTTACAGCATTATATTTATAAATAACTTTTACAGTTTTTTTGTAGTCTATTTAGTATCAGCATTGCACCCGAGCGAAGCCAGGGCGGGTCGTTAGTATAGTATAAAACTGAACTATTCACAATATTTAGACTATTTACGATGCATATTAGTACATATTATACATTAACCTGAACGATCAAAATATCCTAAATGTCTAAGATACTACAATATTTCCTTATAAATACGCCATTTCACGGAATTATAATATTACTCTAACTCGAAACTATAATATTAAACCGATAACATTTAAATTTTTTTAAATGTTAACTTAAACAAATTATATACAAAAAGAAAAGTTTTTAAAACACATCACTTAAAAATTCAACTTTGTTAATTTATAATTCTGTGCCTAAATTAGATTAAAATAACTTACAGACAAACTAGGAGTACTTACTTATTTGTTGTAAACTATGTTTTGCATTTGAATAAAAAATATCCTATATTAGTACAAGTAAAAAGTATATATTTTCACCATCTTAAGTATATATTAAAAGAAATAACTGACTAAATAAAAATTGACCAAGATTATTGAAAGCGTCATTTTCAAAGTGAAATGAAGTCGTAAATAGAAGCCATCAAAGAGACAATCTTTTTATCTCAACAGACAATAAAAAGACTATTTCATTAAACTTTCCCTCAAGTGTCGGTCCATATGACAAAAGATAATAATTTATCTTCACCTAATTTCGTCAAGTTTTAATAATTTCATAAAAAGCCTGGATTAGCACTTCACAATCATTTTGAAATTCGTTCGTTATAACTTTGAAAATGAATTTGGTTTTTAGGGATTATGACTGGCAAAATGTCTAGCTTATTGCGTTTTCACTATAATATGTATATACATGTAATATGTCACAAGATTTTACTCATTAATAACCATAAATCGATTTTTACTTCCTTAACTTTTACTTTATTTGTATTATATTGCCGCCATTTATATTGACTAAATATGTTTATCTGCGAGGGCACAGTTACGGAATTGTTAACATAATTCTTACACAAATAATCTTCCAAATTCATTTTCGCCTAAGTTAATTGCGCATTTTTATGATCCTCCTTATTGATTTTTTGTTATTAGGTCACTCTGCCTCTATTAGCCTCATATATAAGGTATACATATATGCCATCGAAATCCAATAAGCTTTTCCGGATATTAGTTAAAATGAACCGACAAATTGCCTTGCCTCAATAAATTCATAGCTAGGATCAGCCAACGTTCTTTTCTAAATATCTACATCAATCGTGACGATCAAATTTGAGGGCATACGGTAAGGATTCGATATTACAATGAAAATTTCGTAACACGTGCAACAGGCTTAATCTATTTATAGAATTAGGAAGATAGGGGAATGTTTAGTTACCTAGTGGAGTACGTTGAAAGACGTAAGTCTTGCTTTGTTTCCTAAAATAGTCATTTGACTATACTTGGCTGTAATAAAATAAAATTGGTCTAATATTACGAAATGTGCTTCATATTACGAAAGAAATTATGTTATAAGGTATTAATTTTATTACTAAAATACTATTATAATATCTATTTTCTATTAGAAATTATAACAGTCCACTAACGGCTAAATCTCACTCTGATTGAAGACAGCAGCAAACCCATATGTCGTGAGTGCAATCAGCAGGAGGAAACAAGCATCCATCCACTCGCTGAATGCTCAATTTCATTTAAAAAAGACACACGCGGGAAGCGACAACGTAACTACAGTTGTCTCCCCGTGACCACGACTGCCCAAAGCATCCGAAACGTCGGGCGAAACTAATTTTCAAACTTATTAAATGGAACAAAAATTTAAAAACCACTAAGTTTTTAAAACTAAGTAACATTGCTATATTAGTTTTAATTATTATCTTAAGAAACTCTCCTTAGTTTCCTAAATAAAGAAATGAGCCAAACCAATTTCAAATTGTAATATTTTTTAAATATATCTTCTTTTAAATTTCAGTACAAAAATAACACTCAGACTGGCGTTGAAGAGATAATAGAAGCTATAAAAACAGGCGCTGTGAACTCGTCACTAGATGTTCAGTCGTTGGGTTATTTCAGCCCTACGTTTAAGCACTATGCCTCTTACCATGGCTCTCTCACGATTCCACCTTGCACTGAAGCTGTTCTATGGCTGATAAGGGATAAAACGTTGCCAATAACAAGGGTATCTGTATAGTTTTAATTAAACCTATTTGAAAGTTATTTTAATTACGGATGCTTTGCAGTAGCCGTGATCACGGTTTTATTTGAATGTGAACTACTGGCGCAAACTACAGACAATGTCTATAGTTTTTAGTTACAGTTAGTTTTGTAATAACCATCAGCTCTTTAGAAGTTCCCACAGCTGGGACACGAGCATACTGCTATATCGCTATAATGACCCTTTTTCGTATGTAACAAGAAAGATATGTTATGTTGTATTGAACACGAATCGAAATCACGACCACATTGTTTGCAGACTTTATACCTAACTAGAAGATTCTTGTTATTGGGATATTACAGTTTTTAGGATAAACAAAATATTTGTCTTCTCCATTTTATTACTCAAATATGTCGCAGTAATATTTTTTTTTACTTTTGAAATTTCTCTTTATTTATATTTATAATGATTTTTAAAAAAAAATATTTATAATCACTATTTCAAAATTAAATAAATAATAATTACCCATCTTGGGCCTTTTGTTAATAGCACTTTTGATAAAAAGGCCTTTAGACCCTTTGTTATAATAGTGTTTTAAGCAGGTAGCTCACCTAGTTCGAAGCTAGACTATCAATCACCGTCAACGTCAATTTTTACGCAATTTTTATTATATTACTAGAATTTATTGAAAATCTGGTATTAAAAAAGGCGAGAAAAATTCTGATGAAATAATAATACAGAAAACAAGCAAAGGACCTTCTTACTTAGTACGATTCTCGATTCGAAACTAAATTTTTGCTTCTCATAAAAACTTTACTAAGGTGTCATATGTATAAGGAGATATGTACTTAACTATTTTGTTGTTTACTTTTTCAAATTGCTCATTCATTGCTATTTATACTTATATCTTAAAATACTCCAACTCATTTTCTTGAACTAACCGCAAATAAAGTCTGATTCATTACTGAAGTGACTTTACCACTCAGTGTGAAGTATCAGCACTTAATAAAAGGGGTTTCCTCATAATAGCGTAAGACGTATACTTACAAAGGTATTTTTCAGAAAACGGCGAAGGAATTTCACAACTTGCTCGTTGAAGATTTTCAAGGAAGTCTCTTACGACACACTCAACCTCTTAATGACAGGAGAGTGTATTTATTTAATTAAAGCTTGGAACGCGGCTTTATTATTTATACAAATTATAAGTATTATATTATAGTTTAATTAAAGTACAGTTAACATTAATTTGTAATCAATAAAAAACTAACAATTTTGAAGTAAAATGAGATATTTTTTTATTTAGGTAATTTTATTCTTGAAATATAAAAAAAAACTTTCGGCGATTCATGTCTTGTCTGTTGTCGACAGATGTAAATCAAATATTTTCGATTTTCCGGATAATGTGTTTGAAATGAAAATATCAGGAAATTATAATCGAGAGGATCGGTTTGTTCAAGACTGTCGATTGGTATTTCATACTTTTATATAACCCTAGTACGAAATAATTATAGGAACGTGTACGAATGAACTCCAACAATAAATTGTTTATTAGCCCTAATCAGTAGGTCATACTCGATCGATTTAAATGCAGTGTACGGTAGGCAAATTATTGTTTTCATTATTATTATTCCAATGTCAACTTAACGGCGTAGAGATAAAATTGCAAATGTGATCACAATTTCTTATCGATTTGATAACTTGATATGTCAGTTGTATCGTGTCAAGAATTTAAGGCGGTATCTTACGTCTGGTAAGTATAATATATATTTTACTAGTTTTTATTAGTCTATCGCAAGGTGCATAACATTATCAAGAACTAAGATTTTCTTAAGTTTATTAACTTAAGTGCAGAATCATAATCGCATCCATCATTCAAGTACGTCAGAAGTTCTGAATTCGAATTGCTTGAGTGGCCAGAACAGAATTAAAAGTGTGTCTGCCTTATGGCATGTCAAATGATAAATGTCAATATTAACAAAATTTCTGAAATAACATGTTAGATATATAATTTAATCTAGAAATAACGTCACGTAATCTTAAAAACGGAACTCTTCGACAAACACTTGGCACTTGGCTTTTGGTAAACTTGGTATTAAATACTGTCTATAGTTACGCGACTAGTACACATTTAAATAAAACGCGGTTTAAAACGCATCCGAAATGTCGGGCCGAAATAAAAAATCATTTTTAAATAAGTTTAACTAATATATCGCGTTTTAAACCGTTACAGTGTTTTATTTAAACTTCGTATTGATATAACAACAAGTACTAAAACAAAATATTTTTTCTTAGTTCTATTCTATTTATAATGGTAACATTTGGCACTTATAATATTTACAAAATGTAACATGAAATTTGTGTCTATGACTCGCTCTTGCTCGATTTTAAACTCCTAAAATAAATATTTGGTTAAACATTTTAATTTAAAATAAATTTTAATCTTTAATTAATGTGTTAAATTTAGGTTCAAGCGAATAATATTCAGGTACCCGTGTTTATGAGGATCGCTCCTAATTAGATAATTACTCAGCGTTTTAGCACTGAATTCGTAGAAGTTCAAAAGCCCTTTTCAATTCATCGATGTGGGCGTAATTCGTACTATCAGCTAGTAATTAATATTGAAGTATCGTTATTTATAAACCAAACGATGCAAATAAAGTTGCATATGTCTATATATTATGTGAAAGAGCAAACTGTAATTATTTTAAGGCGTAACTGGCGCCACTGACCTTTGTCTGTATATATAATTATAAAGCCTTCATGGCTTTTAGAGTCTTAATTTAATTGATTAATAATAAGAAATATGAAATAACTATGAAGATGTAAAAAAGAGTGGAATATTAACAGATGCGAAATGTGTAGAAAAATATAACAAATATATATTTCAAGTGTTGTAGGGCTCGCACCTTAAACGACCATATGAAATGCTATCAGCTCTCAGACCACGTGGAAGTCAGTTATCTAATCGGCGCTGTGACGAGCGCCATCTATCATCGCGGATTTGGTTTATCAATTTTATCTTCATCCTAAGTGCCACTATGTTTTCGCGTCTGTGTTTTCAAGTAATATTTATCGATTCGGTAGTAAGATTACAACAAATTTGAAGAGTATTTATGGAGGATTGTGAATATTTTTTAGGTCTTAAGTTACTAATTTTTCAAACGTATTAAGCTCGTATGTGAAATTATTTAACAAGTACTCAAATGTAACTGTTTACTACTAAATTAGTATATAAAAAAATAATATAAGAATCTTAAACTAAATAGTATGAATTCAGTTTAAATAAAACACTGTAACGGTTTAAAACCTTATATGTTTGAGTTAAACTTGTTTGAAAATTATTTTTAACTACGACCCGACGTTTCGGATACTTTGCAGTAGTCAGTCTCCCCGTGACCACGGCTGTGGTACTCGTAAACTACAGACAGTTTTTAATGAATTTAGTTCTTTTTGTTTTAATATTAATATATTATATAATAAAATATATAGTTTTTGCGACTTATAAGGCAATTCCTCTTGATGCAAGAGGAGTGTTTTATTTAGAAAATAATACAAAAATCTAAGTTTGACTTTTTGCAATCAATTCTCAATCAATCATTCCCATTTTTCAGGAAGTAAAATCGTCATACGTGGGTTAGTCCACAATTGATTTACAATGTCATGATTTACGAAATGTTGTTTGTGTCAATAACATTAAAATATAAATCAGATTGTGTCATTTTGTTGTAAAGAGATAAGATTAACGGTTTACTATCGCGCGATAATATAACGTTTACTATGTGTTAAAAATCTTTTTGAGAATTTTTCAATTTGGTTACTTAATCTGTCTGGTGAATTCATGATTACGAATACATGTGAATCATTTTGAGTCCCGTTAAATGACCTATGTATCGTTTTAGTCCCGGACACCCAATGTTTTTATTTTCAAAGAGAATATGTGATCAAAATGTTCTTTTAAAATTTGAAATTTTCATTATTTTTCCCCAGAATTTATAGCAATGACCTTATCTACAACCTACCGATTTTCTCTTGATTTATTATACATATAATAAATATGCAAACTTTTATTTCACTTATGCCTCGTGCAGAATATATATAAACACAAAGTTCCATCAACATCACAAACGAATATACGCAAGACTGTCCTAGACGCAACTCTTACAAAGCAACGTTAAAGAAATAAAATACCTTCCATAGTTTCAGATAAAACCTCATTAGTGTTTTATTATCTTTATAAATTAAATGACAAATAATTATATCATATGTAATCTATATATATATACATGTGACAATTTTATTTCAGAGAATATTTGGCATTTTCTTACTAATTTAGTTTCGTTGTATTATTTATTCGTTTACACTACTTACCTTTTTAAACATTCCTTTTCACATTGTAACGTGTAAGAATACTAAGGGTGTATTTGCTTTTATTTGTAATAAAAAGTGTTATTATGGATAACACGAATTATAAACATTTATTCGAGTAAATAAGATTTTTTCTCTTTTGAAAAATTTGCAGTACAAATTACAATTATATTATACAAATTAATACATGATACAATGTAAGGGTTACAGAACTACTAGATCAAAAATATACAAATGAAATTAAACTTTATAAAAGAAACGATGACTACAAGGAAACGTAAATACCAAGAAATGAATGTGAAGAAAGGCTTGAAAGACTTTCAGAGAGAAATCATGAGCTTTCTGGAGGCGAATACGAAAACACAAATGGCCAACATAATGAAACTGCGAAAGGAGTTTGCTGAAATAAAATCGGAAATACACGCTATTAAGAGTACAAGTGAATCTGTTAATACGAATCGAAGCAACATCGACCTGGAACTTGCTGGTATTAAAACTGAGAATCGGTCCTTACGAGAAAAGTTGATGGATTTGGAAAGTACGCTGACTCGCATCAAAGAAACCCAGGGCTCTTCTAAGTCGGTGTCATGTGATTATGAACGAGTGGAAACTCAGGATTGCTTCCAAGCTACAGTTCTACCTGTGGACACTAAGGATCATAATCTTGGTTATGATGATGGAGTATCGCTTCGGTCGGTTAATATCGAGTCTACGCCTAAACAGCTTGGTAAGCTTTATATATTTATTTAAAAGTAAAGTTAGTGTTTTATTAAAAAATATATAGAATATGTGAGATGGGCTCCAGCCTTGGGAACTGCCCACAAGAGCAATATCATTATAATAATAAATCCAGTAGGCTGAGATACATACAAGTCAACATTCAAATTCCTAAAATATAGTACTCCAAGCAATCTAGGTGACCTTGATAAAGAACAAGAGGAATGGCATTAGACACACTATCGGTGATTAGCATTACTTAATCAAGTAAATAATTTAAATCGATAATAAAATTTAGTATGGTCAGCGGATAATAAAAATGTGATAAAAGAATTCCTTATATCTTAGATTAGATAGAACCCGTGGAACGAATCACTTTCTCAAATTCGCAGTCGCAAAATAGACGTAGGTTTAGTTAAAAATGAGTTTAAATTTAAATATGTCCGTTTGTCCGTCCGAAACTGCTGCGTCAGATGGTAATGTACTTAACTTGGGTTTTTTTGTAGATTTTTACAGTTTTTAATTCGTATTTTTTTAATTTTATGCTCAAAGAAATAAATATGATAGTCGATTGTGATAGTTTTATGAAAATTTTTAAACAACTAATTCGATGTGTTTAAAACATTATTTATAATTACTTTTAATATATTTTAATAAAACACTTTAACGATTTAAAACACGATATATATTAGTTAAACCTATTGAGATGCTTTGCAGCAGCCATGGCCATGGGGAGACAGTCTCCATATATATATATATATCGCGTTTTAAACCGTTTTAAAGTGTTTTATTTAAATGTAAATTTAAGTACTACTCGCGTAAACTACAGACAGTATTTACATTCATTGTATTGTACCTTAATTTTACACATTTATAATATTTTGTTTTAGCTGAACAAATATCAAAGTTACGCGCCTCTCAGTCCCCCATCGCTATTTCCCTGAGTCGTTGTCCTACATGGTCATCGCTAGACAAGCTGAAATTTAAAGGTTATTGGGACAATAATTCCAATGGCGTACTCCTCAATACAGGACAAACGGGTAAGAAAGATTAAATTTAAAATAATTATTTTTATATCTTATGTATACCTAGTATAGCTTCATTAGTGTAATAGTAGCAATGTAGGTATAGTAATCAATGGGTCGTGGATTTGACCAGAAAATTTATTTATGAAACATGCTGATTTCGTTAGGGACCGACCCCATGATCGGTGTTTGCATATGCTAGCTTATATCGAGAGATAAGAGTATTTATTATTTGTATAGTATTGTTCAGTGCTACCATATTTATTATTTCTGTCATAAATATAAAATTTCCTCTTCCGCATATCGAGATTTTAGTAGTTCAAACCTTATTATTAGCGTAATACGTAATAAATTGATTTAACTAAAATTAGTCATGAACCAGTGATAAAACTGTCGATAAAACTAGGAAATTTGGTGATATGTTATCTATCGCTTAGAATAGGGTTTCAATACCATCATTTCGTTATGTGAATCAGCTACTAGGGCTTTATTGGGTTATCCCAACTCTTGACAATTTGAACCCCCGGAGTTATAAAAGATGTACCAGGTTATCATGTATATACAAGAGATCAACTCATTGTTTCAGCATATTTCACGTTTGACTCACCAACGCGGCCCATACTTAGCGGTGGTCCGTTGATTGGGGAGTATATATTTGAGCAGATGCATTTCCACTGGTCCGTCGACAATTTCACCGGCTGCGAACACGTTCTTGACGGTCAGGGGTGAGTGTACCAGAGGCGAAGAGTCGCGCGGAAGATTGTAACTTATTTTTTCGTATGAGTGCATTGCGCTAGTTCCATAAAGCAACGCAACTTTCGGTTGTTATCTTATTTGTAAATAATAATAAAAAAAAAACTGTTTTTTTTTTTATTTTAATTTTAATAAAATACCAACTAGACATAAAATGGCTCAAAATTTAATTATTTAAATTTGGTAATGAACCAGCCACACATACTGGTGTCGTTATGCGTTACGTAATCTTTTATTTCATGAAAAATTTAATTCTTTAAATGTCTTAGTAGGTAAAATTATAATAACTGACGTTAGGATAACTAAACATGTGCAAGATTGAAGGAAGCAAAGTCCCATTATCGTTAAGAAAATACGGAAGTCAAGAATTCTGACAAAGACTGCCAAATGTCAATCTTTATGGCGAACATAAAACTATTTCCGCAAATCATCTGAATCATAAATCATTTTGCGATGTCCCCCGTTTATCCGTGAATTATAAAAATCATCGCTTTATCTTGTAAAGATAGTAAATGTTAGGGGAAGTACTTACATCTTTATTGAATTATAGCGAATGCGATTTTTCACTATCGTTTCGATAACTTAGATAAGTATTGTCTGTCCCAGCGTGACCATGGCTGCAGTAAAGTATCCGGAACTAAATTAACGTAATTTTAAAAAATATTAACTTTCACGTTTTTGACTGTAAAAGTGTTTTATTTTAATATACTATTGTTTTGTAAAACCAGCGTATTTTTCAAGATGTTGAAAATTTTGTTTTTATTGTAAATATTATAAGGATTCGTTTGTCCGTAAGAAGTCGCTAAGCTGTAAGGTCGCCCGTTACGCAAATAAAATTTTAGTGTAATAAAGAGATGTTGTTAATAAAACCTACAGATAAATGAATAAATCTGTTTTGTATGGTCTCGAGTCTTGTACTGCATACTAAACTCTAATTGTTGTTTGTATGTATCAAAAAATTAAATAAAAATACTGGCTTAATAAATCACGTCTTATCTCTCTCCGTTACACTATTACGTTACATTATTCCTAAAAGGTACCAGGGTTACATAAACGTAAAGAATTGCGCTTAAAGCAACTAAAGCGGATAAAATCTAATTTAACATTTCCTACTAGGTATGCAGCAGAATGCCATCTAGTACATTACAACAGCAAATATGACTCGATGGAAGCGGCCGTAGCCAACCCTGATGGCCTTGCAGTCGTGGGCTTCCTATTGGAAGCAGTTGACGCACCTAATCCCAGTTTCGACCGGTTCGTGGAGGCTCTGGACCAGATCAAGAAGCAAGATAATGCGGTACAACTACCATCAGGTGAGCAACAGTAAAAAAGTTTTTCAGTGCATATTCAATAAGACTTGAAAAGGAACGGAAATAATAGATCGAAATAAAAATATATTACAATGTTATCTCTAGTTAACAGGGCTAGTGTAAAGCAGATTGTCAAGTATTAAACCGTTAAAAATGTTGTAATTAGTAGAGTTCGACATTGGCATTGGCCGAGCATTGATTTATTATTTTTGATTATTTTGTATCTTTTTTTTTTTGTTAAAATTTTTCATAGCTACCTAAACAAATTAAAAAAAAAGTATTTATGTTTATTTGGTTAGTTAGAGCAACAGATGCCGGTCAAATCCTGGTTAAGTCGTAGCATTTTCAATTTATAATAGATTTTTAATTTATTTATTTGTAATGTTTTTAAGTGACTACTCAGTATTATTTTGTTGTTGTAAGAGTACCACTAGCTTTAAAAACATGAACCATTTTTACTGAAATTGAGTCCCCATGTCTTTACAGCTTCATTAGCTTGGATGGACCGAGCGGAAGTAACGACTGGCAGTTACGTCACCTACAAGGGTTCGCTGACAACACCACCTTACACTGAGTGTGTAACTTGGATCATCTATGAGAAACCGGTTCAAATTGGCAGTGAACAGGTTGGAATTTGTTTTAGAAATATATACATTATCTGTCTTGTTATATCGTTTACCTCATCTTCATCTTATCGTTATCCATGATGTCTTGCGAGTTAACCTAACGGAAAAGACAGTGTCCCGGATATTTACTTTGACCATATAATGAGGAAGCATTATTTTGTATATATATTTTTTGTATATCTTGATTCATTTCTGTAGCGTAGGCATCGGAAACCCACAAAGAAAAAACAACCTGTTTCTTCGCTTTTACCACACAAAAGTAATTAATTTTTCATTCCGAACCAGTGGTTCCTGAGATTAGCGCGTTCAAACAAATAAACTCTTCAGCTTTATATTTTGGTATAAATATTGCTGTTTGTGGAAGAATTAAGAAATGAGCTCGTTTTATTAAAATAAAGTACAAACTCTTTGTTTGTGTCCTTTGCGTTCTCTTATTATCACACTAAACCGGACTTGATAAATAGTAAATACAAATGTGTATATGCCTTTGTTTAACTAAGTCCATAGACCTCTATAAACAGAATACGGGGACGTTTTTATAACAGCATGAACTCTTTTACAGCTGGGCCTCTTAAGACAATTGGAAGGCGCCGACAAAGTGCCAATCGAGCGAAATGTGAGACCCACACAAAGGCATCCGCCCGGACATTCCGTAATCTATGTGAAACAAGTCAAATCGAAGCTGTGACCAAAATGTTTTATTATACTCATATTTATTGTTATTTTGTGTTTTATTACTGTTAGTCGCGCCTCAAGAAAAAATATTTGTTAATCTTGTTTTTTAGTTTTATTTATTCAAAATGCGAACTAAAAACAGTAAGTACTAAATAAACTTATATAGTTCATGTTTTGAACCGATAAAATATATTTAAATAAATATTTTTTTGTTGTTTGACCACTGCATCGCGCAAATTCTAGGTTTGCCATTACACGATAACTTTTTATCGTGGAAAATAAGCTTACCTTAAAACGGTCGTTCATGATGATTTTATAAAAATGTTTATAAAGTTAAGACATTATTTCATTGTAAATTTTTCATCTTTATTCACCAAACCGGCTTTTTGGAGAAGAAACATGTATCTTTTTTTAGCAATAAAAAAATTAAAAGAATAAATATCAAGTATATATAATACTTATAATGGCCTAGTGGTTTCAACTAAAAGAGATTTCTATATTTGGATTCGTTCAAAGTGCCTTCTTTTAAAATAACGTTACCACCGGCAAAAGTCGAATTGTATCCATCTATTCAGATCTAAGCTACTCAATATTCCTGCACACATTTCAATTGTATCTGCTACGTGTTCGTAAATTTTAACGTAGAAAATATTTCGAATTGTGGAATTCATAGCCGACGTCTCTAGAATTAAATTAGACATAGTGGACTTTTGTGTTACGTCCATCTCTTCAGGCAAATTGAGGACGAGTCGTCGAATCTTCTGATGTTCGCCTTCAAATTTATCAGCCAACTGCCCAAGTAGCAAAGTGACGGCTCTGTATTTCTCCTTTCGTAAATCTTCACCTTCATACCAGGGTTTTAAAAGATCGAGATGCGATTTGCGAAGAAGTTCGTAATACTTCATTCTTTCGTCGAATCCTTTATCCATCATCGCAGCCCGCCAACTTGTGATCGAAAGATCCCATTCTTTATTCGGTACCATCTCTGTGTACAAGTTGCTTAGATTCAGGACTTCCGTTTGATGATAAAAGCAAACCGGATTTTTCATAATAAACATCTCTTTTTCCAGGAGCAATTTCTTGTACGGATACGTTTGAGGTTCAACGCTAATCGCTACAGCAATCGCTTCATCTATTATTGTTACAATTAAATTTCTTGTAGCCAAGTTATTAATCTTCCCTGCTAACTTATCAGCTTTTCTTTTAATCCTCTCCATATTCTCGACCGAATCAGCTGTTAGATTGATTAAAAATTTTTCATTCATCGTATCGAAGAAACAAACATTGCAAGTGCTGAGCTCCCAAATTTCATTATACACTCCTGGTTTATCGGAGATGAACGTGAAAAATAATTCCTTCGCTTGACCAGGAAATAAAACGTCTTCGTTTTTGTTAAAGAAGAATACTTGTTCCAGTGGCTCTTCAGGAATAAAGGGCAGGGGTCTTTTTACCCTTCTCCAACAGTATCTTATCATAACTGTCCCCAGGTTTTTGACGTATAGTTTACATCTACCCGCTCTGTTAGCAGGAGTGTTGAAATAATATGACCAAGTGTTACAACATTCATGCCACGGTTCTTTTTGCATAGTTCTTAAAAATGAGACTTTCTGATCCGGTATATCCTTTACGAAAATAGTATTATTAATTCTAAGTGCATAAATAGAGGCTGTAGCTTCCTCTACTCTAGATAAAATCGTAGAAAGAGTTATTTTTGGCAAATCGGGAGTTTTTGGTGGCGGAGGCTTCGGCTTACTTCCTATCACTATGAGATCATTTATATCAGGCCTGAAAAGTAAATACATTGTTAGAAAAATATACATGTCTTAAGTAAGACATGAATTTATTACATTACCTATTCTTTTTTAATTATTCCTGGGGTCATTACTATATGAATAATTACATTATTAGATTTATATTATATAGCTGTCGCCCACAACTTTATCTGCACTACCTAAAGATCGATAATTTTATAGAAAAAATATTCATGAAATATATACCTACTATATACATATCTATACATACATTATTTTACTAACGGATTAATTATTACTAAAATTTACATTTTATGATTAAAGTAGTAACATTAAGGATATCATTGTCTTTCAGACTGTTCGGCCGATGTGAGCGAGAAGAGGTTCTCGTCGTTTCGCCATCAACTTCATGTTAATTCTTCGAGCAATCGAGGAGTTAAGATCTCCTGATGATGCCGTCCACAAGTGATGGCGTAACGTCGAGAACCTCTTCTCGCTCACATTGGCCGAACAGCCCGAAAGACAATGATATGCTGAACGATGGCCGTGAAAGCCTTGCACTATTTATTAGTAACATTAAGTTTTAATAGTTGTTACTACACGAAGCCTAAGCGAATGAAGCTTATTTTTATTTTACAATTATTTATCAATATAGATAGATACTTGCCTGTGTGGGTCGATTTTTTCAATTTTGTCTTTAAGATCCTTTTCTCTCTTCTCTCTATATTTTGTATACTCGTGATTCAAACTGTCGCAGGGGTTTCGCTCAGGGCTACCACTTAGGCCCTTTTCTGTTTCTTGTATTATTTTAGGTACTCCTATATGCTGTATGACGCGAGGTCGACCTTGTTCGGATCTCGTCCTTTGTACTTCATATACGGGTTTACAATAACAGCTTTGCTTCAGTCTCTGCGGCTGTTCCCAAAGACATCCTCGGACGGTTGGCTTTTTCTCAATTTGCGCGTGTTCTAAAACGATTTTCCTCTCTTTATCCTCTCGTAGTTTCTCTAATAAATTCATAGCTAGATCAGCTGGAGGCCTATTTGTTTTTTGAGCTAAGTGCTGTGTTTCTTCTGCTCTTATTTCTATCCATTTCTCCCACGTTAGTAGCTCCCTGTCTGGGTAGACCTTCATTTCTTTGTATTTCGGTGTAACTTCTTTTTGCATTATTGTTGTTATATATTTTTATACTTTTAAAACGTACAATGCATCTGTCAATTTTAATCACAACTCTGTAAGTTATATTATGGGAGTTTAAGCAAAAAGTTTTTAACTCGTTCAGTGATGGTGTATTAATGAGTTTCATTAGTACTTCATTGAAACATTTCGGTTATAAAAACAAACCGAGAAAACTTTTCACTTTAAGAAGTTAAAATAAATTTCTTAACGTAATTTTAAATTGAACCCCAAACATTATTTTCACACGAACTAAGATTATTTCTTATCTATCTTTTTGTTCATGATATTATTGACAAAAGTATGTCTTAAGTTATTTGATTTCAAAACACACAATTTCAAAATAAAAACGATATGAAAAATTCCTAGTGTTTTAAAATTATCGTTTAAAAAATGATAAAAACTGCCCCTGCTGTTGCACAAACTGGTATTATAATCCTTAATCCAAATAGTTTAATAGGCACATGTTAGTTATTATGTCATTCTTCGTAATTTTTTGGTAGAGGAAGAGGAAGCACCTAAAGAAGAAGTCAAAAAAGTACCCCCTTATGGCACTACGGAATGGATATATTATTTAAGTGAAACTGAAGGTCTTTTTCCGACTCCCATTGATGTATCGATTACTGATTCTCTCTGGTACAATTGTCCAGAGCTTAAATGGTACAACTTTGATGTATACCCCCATAAGATTAGACTTACAAACACGGGATATACAGGTAAGTTTTAATAGTGTGGTTGACATCTCTTAGTACGTCTACTTTAATTTTATACATATATTTTATCCCGGGGTACAAAAATGTACTCAACTCATACACTACACGATTACAATTAAAATATTATAATGTCACATCAGTTGTTCTTGGCGCGAAATGGCGAACAGAAAGACCGTATTTAGAAGGTGGGCCCTTCTTAGAGAAGCATGTTTTATCACAAATTCACTTCCACTGGGGGGGAAATATGATGGAGGGTAGTGAACACACAATTGATAAAAGGCGATATCCAGGTGAAATGCAAGTAAGTTGTTTTTTTATATGCGCTTATAGCAACTTCTAGTCCCAGTCATGAAAACTTTTAAAAGGCTTGTAAATAATGATACTAAAGATTAAGTTTACAGGTGACGTTTTTCAAAGCGGATTACATGACTCAGGAGGAGGCATTTCACCATCATGACGGAGTTGTTATGATATGCTACTTGATTAAGGTATATTTATAATATATGTATATAGCCCTGGTCCTATATTTTGTTAAATTGAAATCTCTTTTCCCCTCGTGTTTTATTTACAGATAAGTAGTTGATCCGACTACTGTGCCCTACCCGACTGATACAATCTATTTAGGATTTGAGTCCAGGATCTGTCGCGCTTATCGCACTCGTAGGCGACACGTTTAGCCATTTAGCTATAGAATCGGTCCTATATTTTGTAGTACGGTGTAAATCCTGATGACCGCCTCAGTTGGATATTAGAAGGATTTCCAAGGATCCAGGAAGCTCAAACGCAAACACGAGTTGGACCATATCCCATGTCGCGACTCTTACCAATGTTTTATGAAGACTACTTTTTGTACTGGGGAGCTTTAAACACAGTGAGCGGAGAAAACTTTGTTGTTAGGTGGCTGGTCCCACGAAAATCGTTATTCGCTTCCTTGGAACAGGTAAAGTATTATTAAAGTGCATTGGTCATTACCTTTTACCTAAATGTACTAAAAACCTTAATATCAATTTCGTTTCCTATTTGTTTAATTTATTTTTATTATTAGTGTGTTTGTTTAATTTAGAAGAATTATTATAAACAGCTTATAAGCTCCGTATATTTTTTATAGATGAAAGAATTCCGTAAATTATGGGACCCGTGGGATGAACCGAATCGTCGCAACTTCAGACCACTACAAGAACGACAAGATAGACATGTCTTATTTATAAGTCCCCATTGGAATCTTTACAACTCATTGCTGCCTACGCCAAGGATACCGGAGGAATCAATATCTGTACTATCACCTAATTATGAAGCCAATTTATGGATGTTACCGCCACAAAATGCGTACATGCTCTCCAATGAAGAAGAAACGGTTGAAAATGATAATCAACCTTCAGATACTTATATTGATTAATAAAAGGTAAATTTTTATGAACTGAAAGAAAAAGACGTTTAATGTGGTAGAAGACGTTTAGTGTACTATTGGACTAGTAAACAGACGCACCCGTATTTACTGTATTATTTGATGTTTTCAAAGGATTGTAATATTTTATAATGCTTATTAACAAAATGTTGTTTCGTAAATTAACAGTTAAAGATTAAAAAAAATAAGTCAACCTAGCGCTAAAATACAATTATAACCTGTGGTTATTTATCAAAATGATTAATTTATCTTCGGTATTTTGAATGCCAAAATAATAAATGTCAAAGATGACAGCTTTTAAAGTCAACACAAGTTTAAGAAACTAAATGTAAAATCCAAATGCAAATAAAGACTTTTTTAAATAAGTGGTAACTAGTGATGTAACTACTGGATACAAATAACAAAACTATATAGCAAAATGATTAGAAACGTCCTCCGTATCAGTCGGTGGCTGGTTCACAAGAGAATCAATATTACACCGGTAGTTATACGCCAGGTATCAACTAGAACACCAAATTGGAATAGTAATTTTATAGCAAACCGTGGATTTTCTTCCAATACTAGTGATAACCAAATTTCTGACCACTTAGAGCAAGCAGTTTTTGAAGATATTTGCAGTGAAACGTTGGAATCGCTGTGTGAATACTTTGAAGAATTAATAGACCAATCTAGTCACTTGAAGGGAGCTGATGTAACTTATTCTGTAAGTTTATCTTTTGAAATCTTTTAGTTGTTTTAATAATAAAAAGGTTACTACACTAAGCCGCATAGGTGCCTTGAGTGTAAGGTAAAAATTTGGATCAACTTATTGCCGATGATAAAATCAAAGTGATGAAAGAGGAGCTTTATAGTATTACAGAACAAGAATTTAGGTTAAATAATTTACTTACTTATTTTCTAACTTCACATTTAACATATGTTTAAGTATGATTTATACTTAACATTAATAAGGTGTATGTCTCTTTTTTGTGATAAGTCATGTTCTATTTCTCTTCCAGGATGGTGTATTGACCATTTTCTTTGGACCAACTTATGGAACTTATGTTATTAATAGGCAAACACCCAATAAACAGATCTGGCTTAGCTCTCCTACATCTGGACCTAAACGTTATGACCTAGTACTTAAAAACGGAGGCTACTGGATTTACAAACACGATGGAGTACCTTTGCACCGCTTATTACAAGAAGAAATATCAAAAATAATAGAAGATGTTGACTTTAAATCATGTGCACATAGCATAGTGTAACTATAAAAAATAATAATATAGATGAGATATTGATCATACTTTGTTTTATTTTATCACAAAAATGGAAGTTATTGAAGATGGAAATATTATGGACAGGATCCCTATTCTTTTACAAAGGGATCTGGAATATTATCAGGTAGATTGTTTTTACCACTTTATATGTGAGCAAATACAACTATAAAAAATTTAATATCAATGATATATGAGATTATATCTAAAAAAGAGAATAGAATTTAGTACTGTGCATCTTTTACAAAACGTCTGAAATATTCAGTTGTAGTTAAGAAAAAGTTAACTCAAAGCAATATTCCCTGCGTCCTGCATACCTGCTATTATGCGGTATCCCTGGTTTAAACTATGAATACGGTTTTATCTTAATATAGAGCATTAAATGCTTCACATTTTTGTCTTAATAATTCTAAATGTCTTAAGTAATAATGTATAGAAAGAGAGATAAATTTGGACTTGAATGCTTGTGCAATTGTTATGACTTTGGCTTTATAACAATTATATTATATTATTTATATAATTATACCTAAGTACCTTATAAGAATACTTTTATATTTCAGAATAATCAAACTGTGCTATCTGAGAAAATATGCAGTGGAGTTGTTGGGGGACGGCTAGATTTTCCACGTAGTGCCTCATTTGCGGCTGTCAAGATAGTCTTGTGGCTTGAAGAAGAGTTTTCTGTTGCATTTAAGTATGAATATTTCTTTCCTAATATATAATATTACTAAATAAATAATATGTCTGAATGTCAGGTGTATGATTTAAGCAGGGAGTTGTTAAGTGAATATTAGTTTTTAGAGTGTTAGGTATATTATTGTATTAGCCTTCCCATTTTTACAAAAGACTATAATATTACTAAACTCATAATTCCAATATCTAGTTAGTTGTGTAATGACAAGTTGTATAATGATAATTTTGAACATATCCATATTTGAATTATCATGCATGCATATATAACCTAGTAAATAACGGTTAAAGCCTATGAAATAAAAAATAAAAGATTTAAGCATTGGTTAGTCCACTTACTTTTTTTTTACCGTCGAAAAATGCCTCCCCTACCTGCCCTGACTATGTATCAGTCTGTCTTTGATAAACCAAACAACAATTCACTATGATTTGCTATATAGGTTTTAATTTTTTTTATCAAACTTAACATTTTTTTACTGCCTTATAGGTAAAAATAAGTCATCTCTTATTGATCTACCTTTCAGGCAAGGCTCCGGGATGTTTGTGACTTTGGAAGATGATGACATAGAGGGGGGTGTGGCAAAAACCTCAGATCCAGAGAAATTTGTGCAGCTTGCTATTAAATCGAGTGACTCATTGCTAGGTATGTTATTTTAATGTTATAAGAGAAATTCATTTAGTGACACATGATAAAGAATGAGGGTCCTTAATTAAATTGTTTTGAACCCGTTGTTCGCTTTTTTTGAACTAACATTAGGTTCGACCAAATGCAAAATTATATATACCCTCTCCGATCGATTGATTTATACTGTCTGTGCAACTTAGCTTAAAGCCTTCGTTCTCGTGTAAAACTTTATAGGCATATGATTATCTAGAATTATATTCAAAATATCATGTAACACGGGTTTCGCATGTTATGAACGCCACTCCACTCAACAAGACGTAGCGAGTGATATAAGGAAAGAAAATCTCCTTTATGAAAAATCCATGATAATTTTACTCCTACCTGTAGACGTACTGCGTCTCGTCCTAATTTACAACGGGGGTAGTGTATCTGAATCATGAGAAGCGGGTGATAGGTACCAGTCCGCCGGTACCAAGAACTCGTTCGCCTCCTCCAAAGACACTTTATCCCACAAGTATCACAAGCACAACACTAAACTAGTTGCCCTCCATTACAAACGGAATCTTATTAACCTGAGCGAAATCACTATAAGATATAAAGATTTCAAAATAATTTCTAACAACTTCACTAGTAGAATACAAATTAAATTCGCCTAGCAATAACACTTTTTCGTATTTTAAACAAAGTCGTTCTATTTAACTTAAACAAAACACTTCACAAATTTTATAAGGTAGTTCTACTAAACAACACAAAAACAATAATTTGTCATTAGAGTGGGTGGTCGCACAACTAGTTCGAACAAGTAGCAATCGACTGTGACGTCATCTAGTTCGCATCGGCTCACTGTTTGTGTCCGTAAGTCTTAGTCAAAGAACCGCTCGTTAAGTATGGTCGGTCCAAATAATTTGGTACCCTGCCCCTTGATTGAGCATTATTATTTGGTGTATTTGCTTTTTGATTCAGGAAACCAATACCACTGAAAACACTGCATGAATTAATTTTAGCTTTACTTTGAGGATCTGATCCTTTTGAGTTGAAGAGAGAGGTGTCTTCAATCACCGTCATTTTAATAATTATTGAAGTCACTATAACAAATCTTGTACTATAAGGTGATATTGTGTCAAAAAAAACAATATCTAGAAATATTATTAAGGAAGTATGTTTCACAATGATGAATCTTTAATTTACAAAATGAAGTTGTTTAGTGTGTAAATTTTAGATGGTGTTATTCAAATTTAACAATATTCTTATTTATTTATTTGTTTTGGTTTGCAGAACACTTACACATGCTAGCTCAAGAGGCATTAGACCATGCTGATTTACCAGTATTGACTGCAACACTAGGTGCTGCTGCTTTGCTGAAAAATAGCCTTTACTGCTATTTGCAACATATTGAGGATACGGGCCTTACTGAAATGCAATCTGTTATGCAAGTAAGAACTTGTATTTGTAACGTATCGAGAAATTGTTAAAATACGAAGAGCCGAACGAAAATGAATTTAAAGTCCATGGCTTTCGATCTGTGGACTGCTTTATTAGCCCGATGATATTTCGAAATTTCGTCTAGATAACGACGAACAGTAGAATTAGAACTTGATTTTTAGAACTGTGTTGGACTTGGTGGGAATCGAACCATTTATTATTAAATATCCAGTTAATATTATAATAGTACATTGCTACTGTCATATTTATAATACTTTTTACGAATCTTTCCAGGCATGTTACAAAAGATATGTAACAATGTCCGAAGCGGTGGGTGAAAGGGTTTTGGATCTACATAATAGAGTTCTTTCTCTTTATATCCTCCAAGACTCTGGTGGCAGACCAATAGATTCAGTGGGAAATAATATTCACGAGACCGGAACTCCATCTGTGCAGGGCTGGTGGCTTTATATGAATGGTAAGGGTTACTGTCTTATGAAACTTTTAAAAATTTTGAAGAGAACTTCAATATTTAATATTTATCACATGTTATTACTTAATGAGTTACGGTATTACGGAAAAACTGGAATGAGTTTTTGTTGACGTCTTTTTATATTACAAATTAATTGTAAACTTTTGTATAAATAAATGATTAAAAAAGAAACGATCAGAGCAACAGCATGAAACGCTGTGTTTTTTTTTTTATTTTTATAGAGGTTTTTCTATTTATTTAATCAAAACTAGTCGCACATCCTTACAGAATAAAGAAATGAGAGAGTTACAAAAATATTGACTTGGTTGTTGGCTATTAGAAACTCGGCCCTGTTCGTATATTTTCGCCTCTTTCGTGCTTCTTCGTCGGTATCTGTCTCTTTCTAAACGAGAAATATTTTAAAATGTTTGTCATAATAGTGGTACTTGAATTATTTTTGTTTATATTTCTTTCCAGGGAGTCGAAAAGATTTATGGGACACTGTACCCCCTCGAATGGCGCAAAGGATATTCGCTGGAATGCTTAACGAGACTCTCACTATATTGACTGTGAGATATTGTCAGGTAAATAAGTAAATTTATTATTGCCAGGAAAGTACTTTGCTTGACGATTAAATGTCATCCACTCGTGGATTAATATCTAAATAAAATTCGTAACTGTCGTAGTCAAGAGGGGACACGACTGCTGCAAAATATCTGTAACTCGGGTCGTAGTTAAAATAATTAAAACATAATTTTGACTTAAATATTTCTCGTTTTAAACCATTACGATGTTTTATTTTGATATGTCCTACCTATGTAAATCAGACAATACTTAAAATGTAATTGTTTATTTCTAGACAATCATTACACGTAACACAACAACGCCCTTGCTTATTAATGACATAGTGAATATACTTCTTTGCTGCGCGCAATTGCTGCCTTGTATATGTACAAGCGGCGCGGATTTGGCCGGACTAGAGCGCACTGCGCAAAGCCGCGATGTCAGAGACGTACATGCTAAGTGCAACGAACTCTTTAAGTGCATGGTGTTTAGGGGTGCAGACATACATTTTCTACATCAGGTAAATTATATAATGAAATTGTAAATTTCTGGTAAATGTTCATATATGTGAAACCCATTGTGAATTTTATTATTTTTTTGTTGCAAAAAAAGAATTTATTTACCCAATTAAAAGTAAAAACCAGATAAAGTCACCAATATATCCCTAAAAAGCACTTCGAAAATAAAATGGTCCCACTTCTGTGACTTTCCCAACCGAAACAATTTACTGTCTTCGACAGACCCTCTTGTGTTTAACGCATTGCTAGGCGTTACCATTGAGTTATAGAGGCTGATGTGTATTATTTTATGATTTACAGGCTTTCAAGGAGAAGGAAGAATCTAGTTCCTCGAAGGAGACTCCCTATCCTTGGTTTATGTTTGTTAGTCCCAACTTGTTTGAGAGTTTCGATGACGTCACAACACATACCCAAGATTTGCCAAATAAAACTGCTATCGGTTTGGAGCTTATAGTGTTGTTGGCGCAACCACAACCGTCGTGGACCTTACTTTTGAAAGTATGTCATGGTTACTTACTGATACATCAGGTAATATTACAAATAAAATGATTACTACTAACTGTAGTAGTAACTAATAATTGCCATCTTTATAAATTTTATTCATTATAAAGTTCTAATTCACATATTACAATTAACCTTTTTTTTTAAGTCAACACATGAATATTTTGTCAAAATGTTCCAATTTTATTGCACTCGTAAAAAATATGTACTGTGTTTTGGCAATAACCGAATTTATAGATTTGTTTTTAATAGTTAACATTAAGTATTGTCCATTGTTGTACAAGTGAGCTGTACACCTGTAAATATAACGGTTTTAAACCCGAAATATATTGTTTTACTTATTGTTTATTGTACTCTCACATATAGCATTATGTAAGTTAAACATCTATTTACAGTGAAAAGAATTGATTCAATTGGTCAGAAGAGCATTACTATAGATGCCGGTTCGACTCTCGCTCGTGTTATCGATTTTTTTAAATTAGGTTACTTGTAAAATATTTCCAGGTGCTAATGATGCGCAACTGTCAGTTAGCTCGAATGCTCCTCATCCACTCGGTGCGTCACATGTCCGTGGACAATTCGCGGTGGCCAGCAGATGGCTTGTGGTATAGCGGGGATGGGTTGAGAAAGAGATGCGAAGGCTTCCTCTGCACGGCTGATGGATTCTGTAGATTCACAAATGTTGATAGTGGTATGAAAACACATGTTGTGTAACGACCTATTGGTGCTTGCAATTATCGAATATCCAAACCGAAAATAAGTCGACAACGCATCTTGTTTAGATGTTATAGACTAGGCATTTCACCTACCATCGAGTTGTTGCTTGTCTGTTTTTCTCTATCATTAAAAAATATAGACAGGTATGACCGATATTCTTACAGTCTAAGTCTAGAATATATAGGAAATGTTTATGTCCAAACAAAGTCTAACATATCTGTGTATGAAGACATAATTACTACAACAAGAATTGTCTTTAGTCTACGCGAGTAGTATAGTTAAAAAATAATACAATGTGAACGGTTAAAAATTCGAAATATGTAAGTTACATTAGGGACACCCTCTTTAGACCCTCCTGTGACCACGACTAGCATCCGAAACGTCGGGTTAAAACAAATTATAAATCATATAAGATAAAAGTGTTGTATTTGAATGTGCACCACAGACTATACTTACGTTTTATGACAATTAACAAAATATATATAGAATTTAAACGACACTGTCTATAGTTTACGCGAGTAGTACACATTTAAATAAAACACTTTAACGGTTTAAAACGCGATATATTAGTTAAACTTATTTGAAAATGATTTTTAACTCATACTCATAACAGTCTCCCCGTGACCACGGCTGCTGCAAAGCATCCGAAACGTCGGGCCGAAGTCAAAAATCATTTTCAAATAAGTTTAACTAATATATCGCGTTTTAAACCGTTAAAGTGTTTTATTTCAAAATTTAAACGACACTACAAGTTTATTAGGCATATTGCTGTCACGAGTATAATAATGTCTCTGTGTTCTTGGCATGAATTTACCTTAATGATATATAAGAACAAATTCTGATTATGATGCTCGAAAAGCAAAAGAACTTTAAAATGTTTTAGTTATTATTAACGTTTATTTTTATTTACAGCCGGTGAAGAATATGCTAGAGCAGTGGGCGCCCTGACCTATATAATATCAAATATCGGCAGTAGGGACGAGGTTAAGTCAACCCTGTGTTATGCTCTGGAAGTATCGGAAAGGGATTGGGCAGCCTGCTTGGACAAAAGACAGGTTGTTTTATTGTTAAAGACTTATAAAATCGTGTTTGTTTTATGTGCCTATCGAGGATAGACAAACACTTTCACTTGGTGAAATGTAAAATACCCTATATGAAATCTCAACAAGATGCGCTGTTAACATATTTTGGCTTTGGATATTTGGAAATTACGATCCAAGGCTTTAAATATTGATGAAAATATTTTTTGTACATTCTTGAATTCATTTTAACTCATAATTGTACACAAACCTACCACGCTGAGTGGAGTTTGGTGAGCTTGGACGACTATTGACATCAAATTCCAGAATCGATGGCCTAACTTACTGGACGCTGGAAACACCTCTTAATTCGTTAAATATTTTGACAAACTTAGAAAAAAACTCGCTAGCCCAAAAAGGTTTCTTTAGCAGAGAGAAAAATATATGTTACTGCTTTCAGGTGTGGTGTGATCGTAGACCGTCATGGTTGGCTGGTGTTTTGGGTCTCGTGGGTACGGCATTAGCTTTTATCCCAGCTTCACTCGTCAACGCAATACAGACTGGGGCTTCTATGTATCAGGTACTGTACTTAATTTTTAATCATAACAGCATTCCATACTTCATTTAAAATAATCGCTCAGCAAGCCGACCAACCTAATACTATAGAATATAAGCAATGATGACTACTATATAAATTAAAAATCGGTTCGAGATTGAAAAATTGTACGACCATTTTATTATTATATAAAGGTCGAAATTACATTGCACGAAAAGTGTATGTGTCAATAGGTTAAAAAAACATGACAACAAGACATGGTAGCTTAATTGGTTAGAGCAACACCACGCTGTGGATGCCAGTTCAAGTCCAGTCCTTGTCGTAAATTTTTTCTATCCAAATTTCGATTTCATTTATATAATGACAAATTTTGAAGAGTAAATTTCTGTCTAAGGTCATTTAATTAACTTAATATACATCTTTTTTCTTAGTTTTTTAATAACATGCCAAGAGTGGAAGTAATTTATAATTGCCCAATATCTCTATACTCTATCTAAGGGTCAGCCACTTAACAGCCACAATGTAATAACGCTTTTACGGATGTAATTTGTAGCCCGTGTGCGGACACCCCAAAAGTAAAGACCAGTACTAATGTTACGTGACAATATTTTCCAGACAATGTCCCTTTGCCTGACAAGTATTTCGCGGAGTCTAATATGCATCCCTCGGAATTTCATCAACACGGCAGAGATCCTTGAAAAGGCGCTCCCGGCTAATGTGAACCCGGTTGGCGGTTCTGTGGTGATACAGATGCTTATCACGGTTGTATATGAAGAGCTGATGAAATGGGCTAAGAAGGAATCTTTAAAAGAGTCTGCAGGTATAATTTATATAAGCGAGTAGTACACGCGAGTATTAAACAAAACGCCCCTCTGACGATGACTTCTGCAAAGGATTCCAAACGCCGGATCTAATCTAAAAAAGAACGCGCGTTTTAAACTTTTATTAAGGTGATTTCTTTCGCGTCTAGTCTAACGTTGTTTTCAAGAAGTGAAAACCCGTCGTCTCTAGATAGGACAAGGTATGACCATCGTTTGCATCTCCTTCCCCCTATGTCCTTAAGTGACTTGTATCGTCACTATTTCTTTTATTTATATATATATTAAAATAAATAGTAGTAGTATGGTAGCAATTTATAACTAATAATCTCAACCAAAAGGGCGTGGGTTCGATTACCGCCGGGTACGCACTGTTTCAGAGCAATTTTTAATTTTTCTAAAACATCTTGAACTTCGGCTAGTAATCTGGATATGAAATGGATGGTAGTAATATCGAAATTCCTACCACATCATCAAACTACCCATGGATAAACAAGCCGTGAAGATTAATCGTGTTTCGGTTTCAGTCTGTAGATTTCTGAACATCCAAAGGCGAAAATAGGTTGGGGATTTTACCTTCCATCAAATGAACCATATTTTTATCTTCATAATATATTTTTCCACAGGTGTAAATGGCGATGCTCATAATATGAATGTTCACCATCGAAGGCCGAAACAAGTCAGGATTCAATCTATCCAAACTAGTAAGTCATCAAACCCAATTTCAATTAAGAATATTATTAAGTATGTTCTTTCGAGTTAAACCTTAAAAGATTGCGACACTATATGTCTATATGTCTGTATTTTTTTAGATAATTTAAAGTGCAATCATTTCTGTACGTGTTCGCATCGAAAACTCACACCGATGAATAATTTTCCTCGTTCTTTCCACATTTCCCGCTGTTTCTTCGCTTCTATTAGTCACAGTGCAGTGCTTTATAGCCTAAAGCCTATCTATAAAAATTAATTATTTTGTGTTTTACTGCGCTTTTTTTATTTTTATACATCTCTCTCAATTTTTTATTCTTGTGTATGCACTAATATTTGTTAATACTTGCAACTTCCTTAATGGCGCGCTATTCTCTGTGTTTCAGTAAAGATGAAGATTTTAATTTGTAACATTTTATTTCATCAGTTAAATATTCGATAGATAAACATAAAACCGCATATCACTTTGTGGATTTAAGATTTAAGATTTTGATTTGATTATTTTCCGATCTCTCAATATATATAATTATGTAGATTTTTAATGGTTTTTCAGCTATGTCAAGTTCAGTAAGCTTTGACGGAACCCATAGCTCGCCATCTTCCATCGCTCTGGCTATAGCTGAAGCGCTCTGCTCTATAGACGAAGATGACAAACATACGAGTGAAATTGAAAATTTGGTGGCAGAAACTAAGAGGACCTTTACTGTGTCTAACAGTTTCGGATTAGATTTTCCTGAATTTGCGGAATTCTTCGAAGAGGTTTGTAAGTTAATTAGAATATAACAAGGCAGTTCTCGAACCCAAGACTCAAGAGAACTACTTAACTGTGCTGTTCTTTCTGCTATTTAAGTTGTTAAGTTTAAATACAAAAAAATCAACGGTTTAAAACGGGATATACAGTTTTAGTAAAACTTATAATTTATTTTAACTACGAGCCGACGTTTTTTCCCCCTGTGACCATAGCTGCTGCAAGGCATCCGAAGTGATAATAATAATATATTTTGCTTTTTAAACAGTTAAACATTTTCTACAATGGTTCCAATATTGCTAATTGTAATGGTTTTAACTATACATTTTAGGGTAATGTCGCAGCATCGAATGCGGAGAGAGCAAGCGACGCCGCGGCTCTAACTAGTCAAATACTGATGACATCTGCTGGCAGAGACAGTTTTAGGGTAAGAACATCACTACTAAGTAGTAACCAGTAAATAGTTTATTTCTAGAAGTTTGTCAGCCTTCTTCCCTCACGTTAGTAGATGGAAATTTGATAAATCTTTAGTTCGATCTATGACTGCCTGGCACAGGTCTCCCTTCGCATAGAACAATGTTTTTAGATACCTACGCTTATCTAGTGCTAGTTGGTGGGCTTTAACAACTACCGTCAAGCCAAGTGCGAGTCCGTTTCTCGTATAGTAATATGTTCTGTACCATAAACTTGGTACAAATATTTCATATTAAAATAGCAAACCTAGATACAAAATGCCGTTTTTTTTCTCATTGAATTGTTTTATAATATATGTCACTATAAAAACTACAGATATACACATTGTAACTTCAACTTTTTCTCCAACATGGTGGATACTGTCACAGTCAGACATTACTATAAAATTAAGAATTTTTATTAAACTTTTCTTATTGAGAATTGTTCTTTATTTCGTAACGTATAACTTTTTGTTACAATAAATTTTAGGTCATATATGATCATCTACAATCGCATGCAGACCGCATTTACAAGGAGCTCGGTATTCAAGAAGGCTGTGACGCGAATGTTCCGCAAAATAAGGCCCCGCTTCTGTACATCATGTTTCATATTGGTAGACGGCCTTTTGATCAGGTGATTCAATCAAATCATTAATTTATATTAATCATATTTGAGACAAAATCTTATTGATTGACACATGACAGTAAAACGGAATATTGAATCAAGTAAATTGATAGATATCTAAACCAAAAGATGAAGTGTATTGTAATAAGACTGTTGAAAGATATCGCTGAGCTGTAAAGTAGCGTCGTAGATGAGAAACGCTGAATGCGCAAAACCAGACATAAAAATGTGTCTGCTCCGTGCCCCGTGTAGGAAAAATTGGATTCAAATTAAAATCGACTATAAATTGAAAAAAATTACACTCGGACAGGACTTGAACCAGCATCCATAGCGTTACGTGCTTTATTGCTCTAAGCAGTTGAGCTATAGAGTCCCGGCGAGTGTCGAGTCAATTGGATAGAGCAACAGCACGGACTGCTGTAGATGCCGGTTCAAATTCTGCCCGAGTCGTAATTTTTTTAAATTTATAATCGATTTTATACAGTGCCATCATGTGCAATAAAAAAAGTATTAAAGTTTTCAAAATTGGATTAAGTATTAAATGTGCTTGTTGGTTGCATTGTTTTTATTTAACTATGAACATTTTCAGTATTTCCGTGGTGAATGGCCGATGCCCTGGAGCAAACTGGTGGCGAGAGCTAAAGCCTGGTGCGGTGTAGATGGCGCTCGAGTGCACGTCAATAGACGCCCGGATATCCGGAATATCAAAAGTCAGACCAAGAACAATAGACAATTGACGGAGATATATTCTATGTTCAAAACTCAGCCTGAAGGATTACTATGATGTTTATTTATCACAAGTGATTAAACAATCCACGAATAATAGACTCGGGCAGGACTTGAACCGGCATCGTCAGCATTCCGTGTTGTTGCTTTACCAATTGAGCTACCGAGTCTGTAGGACTCTCTGAGGTGTACCTCATCGTCGATTTTTTTCAACTTATCAATAATTTCAACTAACATGCACCTCTCGCGCAATGTAATTCAACCTTAGCACTTGCGTAATGTAGGTTCAAGTCCTGCCCGAGTCGAATTTTTTTAAAATTTATTTTCGATTTTAAAATTATATAGTGCCATCATGTGCAATAACATGTAAACAAGTAATAGAGTAATATTAAAGTTTTCAAATGCTATTATCAACATTTTTTTTATATTCTGTCCTTTCTATAATAGTTTTAAACGCAGATAAGATATTGATATAAGATATTGATTATTTTTTTGTTTTAATTTTAAATATGACGCTCGTTTACTCGCATTTTATGTGCTAAATTGCGACAAAAGAAATAGTTTAGTAGTGACTACAATATGTTTTTAGTTTAAAATTACTGAAATATGTAAACAACGTTTATAATATAATTATTAATAAAATTATTTTTTGCTTTGAGATTGTTGTTTATCTTTTCATATAGTTTTTTTAACATCCACAAATATTTCAACGGATCTGGTTGGTCTACGATGCTATGTTGTTTTACCGACATGCCGAATTTCGATTTATGTTATTTTTTTATATACGTAATAATATATACTACACTTGTTCTATTAATTGCCATCATCGGGCCTACTTAAAACCTAGAAAATTACTAACAACTAGATAAAGTCTTAAAATGAAATCCCTGAATAAGTTAAGAAAGTCAAACCGCATAACTTTAATATTCCATCAAAAATTCCACAAAACGGTATTTATAACCTCTCCACTGTTCCTCCTTATAAATGCAACCTGTTTATAAGGGAAGCGAAAAATCTTCGCGGAAAACGACTTGAATGCAGCGTAATATCCAAGTGCTAAACTTTTAAATTCCTCTTGGACATTCAAAGCCACGACATAAATATAAAATAAGGCGGCAACTTGAACTCTTTACAAGATATTATGGGAGGCAGAAAGTTCCGAAACTTCCTTCCCGTGTCACAAGTTTTATAAAGGAATCGGGAAGCTTTTCAATAGGAATTGACATCTAGACGCGGACTTTAAACTATGAGAATCTTTTTAACTTTCTTACAACTTGTATTACAAAACATTCGCGGTTCGACGTTCATTCTATAACGAGACTGTTCTGACACTAGCTACTTTCAACATTTTGCTTCCCATTCCTGGTAAAAGAGTATCAAAATTGGACCAGCACTTTAGGACGGTAACATCTTTTTTACTAATCTTAAAAGATGTAGTTCTTCTTATAGGGACTGAGTATAAAAGTTTATGTGCGTATGAACTAAAAATATACTAAATATAATGACCTAAAGTTACACTCAAGCAGAGCACATATTTAAATAAAACACTTTAACGGTTTAAAACGCGATATATTAGTTAAACTTATTTGGAAATGATTTTTAACTTCGACCCGACGTTTCGGATGCTTTGCAGCAGCCGTGATCACGGGGAGACTAGAGCACATATTATTAATAATTGGATATACATGATAATAGAAAATAATAACTAGACTTTGTGGCACTCCTTGACATTAGTCTTGCTTGTCTTGTCTAAATCGAATTTATGTGGAGGAACGTCAGACATGTGCGTTTCACTCATCGCTTGTGCACAGCCCAACCAAAACAAATATGTTTTCCCGGGGCTCGAACTCAGGAATTTTTGCGTTTGAGCAGTGTTAGGCAATTTACCTTTTAACTCATATAACGAAGGTCATTGTAAAACTGAACCGCAAGTATAAAATATCGAACTACGAGTTATAACCGTGATATCTAGATATTAACCGAGATACAAACACAATTAAACAGACCTCGCAGTTAACACAGCGCAATTATTTATTCAGAGAGCTTCAATTACAGAACCGGGTCTTGTAAGTCTAGTTTAACAATAGAAAAGCCGAACAGCATGAAATCAAATCATCTCGGAATCAAATACGGGTGCTTGTCAAATACAAACACGGTAGCAACGCCTTCAGTGCATAATAGTTGTGCATAAGTGTGTAATGCTGTTATATACAGGCTGTCCTAATATTTTGCCACGTTTTTTTAACGTTGGTGAAGGACAGACAAGTTTGGTTTCACTTGATGGTAGGCGAAATACCCCAGCGACCTATCGTGGCTTTGGATTTTCGGAAACCCTGTTCTGTTCTTTATAATGGTAGCTGTATTGCGACTAAGTACTTGTCATTTGATTGTAAATAGATACAATTTATCATTAACATTTATTATGTGGTCAAGGTACTGAAGCTTTTATCTTTGCGTAGTATTTATGTAAGTAGTAATATTTTTATAAACATAAGCTAAGATTAACCTTTTTTCAGTTATATGTTGTTTATTAAACGAAAGCTGAGTAATTATGAAGTATTTCTCTTATAGGTAATAAAATCAATTCTATTGTCATTATACGCTTGAGGTTAGCTAAGGTTAACTTTTAAATACTTAATTAAATCACAACAAATCTAAACAGACCATAGACTACTGTTACGATAGAATACTATATTTTATTATTATTAATGAAAGATTATTCAAAATATTAATTATGGCTCTTTTACTATTATAATTGAAAAATAAAACGGGATTAGTCATTAAAATGAAAAATAATAGTGTCGATTTACCTTTAACGTTAATTTAAAAAGCGTATAATATAACACCCTCTGTATCTTAGTAGTACGAAATAAGTAATATAGTAGTGTATAATAGTGTATTTGACATGTCACACGTAAATTGAGAATGCTGTGACAGTGTTCTACTGCGTGTTCTCGCGTGTATATCGATATAATTGTTTCTCTTTGTTCTTGCATCTAGTTTAATATAAGTCACATTTAAATTGTATCTGTAGTTAAACATATATTAAAATAAAACACATATAATGGTTAAAAACGCGAAATATATTAATTAAATGATTTTTAATTTATTTTAATCACGACCCGCTCTTTGCGGCTTAAGATATACTATTTTACCAGTATTTTTTAATTTAAAGTAAATTTAAAACGCGTAATACATTAATTAGTTAATTATTTTTAGTTTATTTAAACTTGACCTGACGTGTCGCGGACCTAAGAAATAGGGTCTTTCTTATCTTATCAGTTTTTTTCTAATGCCAAATGACAGTTGACTTAACTTAATAAATTAAAACTTTTGGACAATACTGGCGATAGTTACCAGGACTGTATAACCTGCCAATAGATTGACTGGCTCCTATAGCAGGTTAATCGAATCGGTGTATCGCACATGGTAGGGTCCAGGCATCGCCAAGGTTGCCCTGGGATTGTTTATTCGCAGCAGTACGTGCCTCGATTGTTATGCATTCAACCGAATTCAAATCGAAATTTGATTTGTATGTTTTGATTTCGTACCATATTCGTGCTGGCGGGAGTAATAATAATTGATGATGTGTTTGTCGATTGCTATACGTTGATTCGAATTCATGCATTCGGGATGCGGTTTATTTAACATTGAAATTTGTACTGTGAGGTACATATTTTGAATACTAAGTCGATATGAAAGTGTACTTATATGAAAAATACGAGCGGGATTTTTTGAATTTATATAACGCCATCATGTGAAAACTATTAAAATATTCAGACATTAAACTCAGTAATTTCATTTTCAATATTTTTTTAAGTTGCAAAGCGAAGGGTATTGAACCTCATTAGATAGAATTAAAGTTTAAATTGTAATGCGTGAGTGTATGTATAAATGAGTTTAAAAAATTCGACGATTCTTCTAGTTACTCGCCGTAGGACACCGTAGGATAGTTGGCTAGAACAACAGCACGGAACGCAGTGGATGCCGGTTCATATTCCGCTGGTGTCATACATTTTTTCCATAGCTCTTTTCAGCTGTGAACGGCGTGACCGGGACGGGATTTCGACATTCCTACTAATTTCATATAAAAATTTTCAGACACCGTCGACATGTTTTAGAAAATCCAATTTTCTTCCCTTTTTAATTGTTTGTGGAATTTTAATACTTCTCTCTACTCTCATTAACTCCGTGTAATATTGAAACATTTGTGATACACAAATAATTTCTGTATGTGAGTAGTAAACATAACCATAAAAACGCCAAAGCTAAGGCTGTGGTTTCACGACACTATTGTTGTAGGCAAAAATATATTTGCCTGTTTATGTTCATGTGAAATATTATAGACATTTATCTTTCGTGTTTGAATGAAGACGACGAATAATTCTTTCACGATCGTTTTCTTACTTATCTAGTAAAAATGGTCTTACATTAGTCTGACATCTCCTCTGGAAATATATTAATTATGTTGTTAATGCTTATAGCCGAAAGTCAAGTGTTAAAATGTTTGTTAAAAGCATTCTGCATTAGACGTTATTCTGACTCTTTAATAGAAAGGCGGAAAGGGGGGTATTTTATGATGCAAGTCTAGAACTGCCGTATTCAAGTTAAAATAAACATTAGCCAAACGAAAACTTAAACAATCACGTCCCTAAAATATTAGTGAAATTTAACGCAGCTTTGTCACCGATGAACGTAGTTATTATAGCCCCCCGCCAAAAAAAAAACCAAAAACCCCCAACAAACAACAACAAAAAAAAAAACAGAAAGCAGATTTTTCTTAAAAAAAGCATAAACATCGTTTGCTATTACGCAGAAAGTTCTTTTTTTAAGCTATAATATAATAATTGAGTTGTTTCGTTTTTTTTATTTAATAATAAATTAAAGATGTTAGTTGTTAGCAGATAAACTATGAAGTGAAATTAAAATATCGGTTTTAGATTATTCATAAATAAAACCATGAATTTTAGATTGAAAAAAAATCTCAAACATTTAGCATATAGTTTCTTTTAACAAAAAAAAATGTTTTAGTGGCTAGTGTTATTTAGTACACATCAA